ACGCAAGCTTTCGAGTCTGTTCTCCAAGTCACCACCACCACCAAGTGGTGAGCATAAAGAGCCGCGACAGCCGAACCGCTTGAAGAAGAAGCGAATCCCTGGCAGCGCGAGTGAAAGTGCGCAAAGCTCGTCTCAGTCGCTGCAAGCTGCGACATCTGATACTGGATTGGCAGCGATCCTGCATGCTTCCCGACACGCGGAGGCCAACAATGATGCTGGAGGAGCGACGCCGCGAGCTCCTAACACTACGAGTTCCGATGATCTGAGCCCGCCACGAGAAGGCAGGCCGGAGAAGCAGCTGTTGCCGCACGAAGGTGGACAGCAGGCGGGCGACACATCGCTGCGGCCTTATGGCTCACGGACTCCATCGATGAACTCTCGATCATCGTTCACCGATTACTCAGATGCTGACCCTACTGATGATGCGGCGCGAGCGGAGCGCAAGGAGCATCGCCGCAGCTGGCGGTTCCCGCGCTCGTCCAAACGCAGCAACGAGCACATTGGCTTGGGACTTGCGTCGCCACCGCTCATGGCCACCACACCCGGTGCCGACCGAAGCACCAGCTCGATTGGCAGTTGGCATCACTCGAGCAGAAGCTCGCCCTCGGATTTGCAGCAATTTGCTAGCGATCCGTCCTATCAACCTTTGAGTCTCGATGCGGAAGTCAGCAACAACGGGGCCGCCAAGGACGCTTCTTTCGTGGAACCCGAAAAGCGCAGCCTGTTTGGCAAGTTCAAAGCCAAGGTTGCACAGGTGCGAGATGGTGTCAAGGAGTCCACCGAGCGGGACCGGACGCGAAGCCCTGTAAACTCAGAAGCCGACCTGTCCGTGTCGAGTCACACGCTGTCACCATCTGGCAAGGATAGTCTGCGAAACCGACCTGCTCCGATCGACGTGACTAGCTATCCTAAAGAGGGACAAATAAGTTCACCGGTCTCTCCACTGCCGGGTTCAGGACTGCCTCCGGCGATCCCTGAAGAACCACGGACACCGGAGAGTCCTGTTGCGGTGCCTGGCTTAGAACAGAAGCAAGAGCCCGTGGCCGTGCCCGTGGCGTCTCCACCAGTAGAGACGGAGGGAACGGACGCTGGACCGGGGCCTGCTGTACCCTCATAGATGAAGAATTCTGATTTTCCTTTGTTAAGTGGTTTAGGATATGGAAATGGACGACATGATTCACGCACCGGTGGCTTGAGGCTGCCATGAGGATTGTCGTTGATGCACTTATGGGTCACGAATGATGTATGTATTGCTTGTGGGATGGCGTGCCATGTGTTTTAAATAGGTGTAGATTATGTACGGTACATGACACTCCGCAGAATAGTAGAGTTTTCCGACTTGTATGGACTGTCTTCAAAGTATATCTTGTAACATCCCCTGACACCTCAGGCATCCACAACCCCAGACTAACCCATGCAAACAAACCAAACAAAACCAATCCTCTTCTTCCACTTCCGTCACCTCCGAAGCATCTCTTCGTTCCACAGCTCCTAATCAACCTCACCACCTCCCCAATTCCTCCTCCCTTCCCTCTCTTCCCCCCTCAGGCCCATCGCCCCTCCATCAAAATGGCCTCCCCACCCCCTCCCCCCCTCACAACCAACAGCGCCGCCTCCGCGCCCCCGGACACCTCCAACAAACCCGCCGCACCCCCGGTGAACATCCTCCCGACCCAACTCGCAACCACCTACTCCTACATCCACCCAGCAGCGCTTCTCTCCGCCTACGCCGCGCGATTCCCCGCGCTGGTCAACGACCCGGTCTCCGAAATGGCCCAGCAATTGCCCTTCCTCGCTCTCGCGCACGTCGCCTACGTGATGATCTGTCTTCCCGCCGCTGGCACCGACTCTGCCACCACCGCAGCAACTACACCAACATCCCCATCCACCCCTACTGCTACTGCTGCTACCTCCAGCGCATCGTCCACAACCACTACCACTGCATCAACAACCAACGGAAACGTGATCCTCCGTCCCGGCCGCGTCGGCCGCCGTCGCACAAAAGACTCGTCTTCGTCTTCTTCGTCCACTGCATCGGCTATTCGTGGACGGGTTGTTGTACGTCCTCCCCCCACATCCCTATTCTTCCCCCCCCTATATAACCACCCTTACTAACGGAATGTGGGAATATGGAATAGGCTTCACTCCTCTCCTTAACACTGACAACCCTCCTCGCCACCCCCGTCCTCAGCATCCTCCTCATTCTCTTCGGCGCGCCATTCACGACTCACCACGCCCAGACGGTGCTCTGCGCAGCGCATATGGCTATTCTCTCGTCCTTGGCGCTGGTGTATGTTCATGGTGTTGATGGGAATGTTTGGAAGGAGGTGTGGGGGGCGAAAAGGCCTGGGGATGTTGTTTGGGGTGGGGCGTTGGGGACGTGTGTGGGTGCCTGGCTTGGGGCCGTGCCGGTGCCGCTGGATTGGTATGTTTCTTTCTTTTTCTTGTTCTTGGATTTGAGGAGGAGGAGGAGGTGATTGGGGATGTGTATGGGATAGGGTTGGCTAATGGTGTGTTGTGTAGGGATCGGCCGTGGCAGGCGTATCCGATTACGTTGTTGACCGGGGCGTATGTGGGTTTTGTGCTGGGTTCGGTGTTGGGGAGGTCGGTGTTGTTTGGGAAGAGGGTGAGGTTTGAGGAGGGGGAGGATGTTAAGAAGGTTGATTAGGGAGATCACCTATTTCATTGCATGGTTTGGGCTGTCGGGGTAGATATCCTGGTTGTTGTTGCTTCGTGTATAGCTGTTTTAGTATATCTTAATTGACTTAATTGTTAATGTTCTTCTTAGTGGGTGATTGTATATTTATGGCTTTTTTTCTTCAATTGATCTATAAGTCTATTGCTGCAGCCCGGCAGCCAGTCCGTAAATGAAAGCAATTGGTATGTACAGTATCACTTATGCACGCAATCTCATGCAGGATATCATAACCACAAACAGAACATTTTCAAAAAGAAATAACCAATGAGGGTATGAAGCAGATATGGTCATTAGAGAGGAGAAGAGGGAGGGTGAGAAGGAGAATAGAAGAGCAAGAATGAATGTTGGCATCATATCATCCCGCCAACTTCGACGCGTCGCGCCGACGGCCACCGCGGATGGTACAGGTCTCCCTTCGGAGGGAGCTCCGGGCGCTCCTCGGAATCACTGTCCGGGCAGATCTTTTCCGTCGGCGGTCCCGAGTTCGTCGGAGACGGCTTCAGGGCCTGCCGCATGCGCATAATATCATGCGCGTCAATTGGGATGGGATAGATCGGACCCATGCCCATGGATTCGCGTGCCACGCGCGTGAGTTGCTCGACATCGCTCCGCAGACTGGACACCTGTTCCTCGAGATTGCGTCGCGCAGACTGCTCCCGGCGCAGTAGCATCACCAGTGCGCTGTACTGTTCGACGGAGATGGTATTGCATTCGTGCAGCGAGGTGGAGGACGGGGCCTGCAATGTGCGCGAGCGGTGGAGATGGTTCGGGCGCAGTGTGCTCGTGCTAGACGGGCGATCGGCGCCGCCGGGCGACTTGGCGCCCGGGGTCTCGTCACTACCCGACGGCGACTGGGCCGACGATTGCTTGCGCTTGTGCCGTGTCGTCGGGGGTGACGGTTTCCTCTGTCCCGACGGCTCGGCCGGCGTTTCACTGCGCCCAGATTGTATGCGTGCGATCGCACACTCCAAGTCAATCAATTTTACCTCCAAGGTGGTTAGTCGCTGTTCCAGCGTCACGTTCTCATCGTGTTGCAAGGAGTTGACTAGCGTTCCCACCGTTTGGGGCATCGGCTCCTCCGGTGCGTCTTCCTCGTCGTCCTCATCCGGCCCATCCAGGAAGGACGGCTCCGTCGTGGGTTTGGGGGCACTGGCGACCGTGGTCCGGGTCGGGGGTCGTTCCGATGCATCGGCCTCGGACACCGCGCCAAAGGTCGTCGATCCGGCGCACGACTCCAGACTGCGGCGTCGCCATTGAATGGGAGACATCAGATGATCTTTGGCCATGCCGCGCAGGGCGGTCGCGCTGCGTGAGCGACGCTTGATCTGGCGCATCTCTCGGCGGCGGACCTCATCCGGATCACTGTTGGCGTGCGGACTGTTGTCCCGTCTACTGGTCGGTCGGCCCGAATGCACGACCGCCTCCAGGGCACCGCGAGATTCGTCGTCCGAAAAGATTAAGCTGGGCAGAGTAGCCCGTCGGCGGCGGGGGTGCGGTTCGAGCTTGCGCAGGGCCTCTTCCCACGAGGTGACGGGCCCGTGTTCCTGTTGCAACGGACTGGTGGATTTGGCGTTCCACGAACCGGAGAGCAGCTGCGGCTTGTCGAGCGATTGATTCGATCGCGGACTGTGGTTGCCAAAGCGACAATCAGCGGACTCGTCGTCCTCCTGCCCGCGACTTTTGCGGGTGAAGATCTTCCGCATGACGGTCTTGAGGGTGCTGCCGGTCCGACGATGTGTGCTGGGCCCGCGAGCAATGGTGGTCGTTCCGGGATTGTATGGCAGGGTAGTGACGGCGCGATTGGTGTTGCGGAGGTTAGTAGCGATCAGGGAGGATTCGGAAGCACGAGGTGGACGACGCGTGGAGACGACCATCTGTTTGGAATTCATGGGCGGTAATGCAGTATCAAAGCAAGCGTCTGTAGCTGCAGGGTCCGAAGTGGAAGAGTCGGCTATGCGACTGTGGGCGGAGTCACTTCGCGTGGTACTTGTACTGGCACCAGACATGTCGGGAGTCGGGCTTTAGAGGGATAGACAACACATGAAACATGCACGGTGCAAACCGGTCCAATGGCATACAAGAGCGCAAGGGGAGGGGGGAAGACAGTCGAAGCGATCGGTAAGGACAGATACGAAGACAGGGACAAGGAACGATTGGATATACGCCAAGGCGCAGAGCCACCAGCTGAAAAGCGGAGGGGGGAATCTAAGGAGTGAGGCTGCGGGCACCAGCATCAGCAGGGAATCCACTTTGGAAGGATGGATGTCAGAGGGGGAAGCTGACCTTGGCAGAAGGGCTCAAATCATGATCGATAGGTTGGAAGAAGAAAATAGAATAGAGTGTCGGAAGGAATGAAGCCAAGGAGTCAGCAGGAGGGAGGGGAGAGAGGAAGTAGTCAAGAGTGGGAAGAAGGTAGTAGAATAAAAATAAATAAGATGGAGTAATAATAGCAGGGAAAGTAAATAAGAGTTAATGGACGAGTTGGTAGGGAGAGACACTACAGAGTCATGAAATGGGGGGGAGGGAAACCCAAGAGTTTGGGGGCAACTGGAGACGAAGATTCACTAGTCCCCGACACGAGCAACAGGGAAGAGAGTCTCAGAAGTTCAGAAGAAGCGGGCGGGATCGGCGAAGATGGAGCAGAATACGGGAAGTTGTCGAGCTTATCAAACACCAACAGGGAGGATCCAGGAAGAATATCCCGGGATTGGCGATGGAGAAGGAGTGGGAGTGAGTGAAGAAGAGAAGAAGCAGAGAAGGAGAAGAGAGAGAGAGAGAGAGAGAGAGAGAGAGAGAGAGAGAGAGAGAGAGAGAGAGAGAGAGGAGAGGGAAATAACAGGAAGGAATGGAATATTTGCCCTGATAATAATAATATCGGGGGAGAATCACCAAAGAAGTATAGAGTTGGACCCCAACCAGTAAGTAATCAATCAAAATGGCATTAAGAGACGAAGGAATGGAAGGAAGCTGCAAGAGAAGAGGAAGAGAAGACCGGGGGAAAAGCAGACAGCAGCAGAGAGCAGCAGCAGCAGGCAGAGACGAAGGAAAGAGAACTAAGAGAGAGAAGCGCATCCCAAAAAGTGGAGCTGAGCTGCTGGTGGATGGAGAAGGAGAAGAAGAAGAAGCGGAGTGGAATTTCGAAACACTCGCGGCGCGTGTCAGGGGGTGTATTTTTAGTTCCAAAATATTTATCTTATCACCACTAACTAACTAACTAGTCCACTTTATAATAATAAGAAATTGATTCATTGCTGAGGAATATTCCATTGTTTGAGTTAGTTTTTATTTTTACTAATTTACTATTCTACTATTTTACTATTTACTTGCTGGATATTCCCAGGGTATATTTCAATCATTCTGAAGAAAGGGTAAAATTCCATCCTACTCTCGCTAACTACTGCATACAGCATATGCAAGAGTTAATTTAATTTCAACCTGTGCCGCGCCAACTCATCACTTACCATCCATGTCACACTCACACAACTGAATGTTCCTCCCTCACTCCTTTGGCCCCATTCCCAACTCTTCCCTCCTCCACTCACTCACTCACTCACTCACTCACTCACTGCTTCAACTCCTCTTTTCTTTTCTCTCATCATTGGACCACGATGGCAATCCTCCATGCTGAAACACGCCAAGTGGCCTCCCTCCCCTCTAACCTCCTCCGCTCCCGTCCACAACCGATTAAGTTGGCCCATCAGACGCTCGGAACCGTTCGCTTTCGTTGACGGGCCCTTCCTCCTTCTCCGTCTCTCCCTCTCCGTCTCCCTCGGTCGCGGTCGGACACCATCCTCATTCCTTCATTCAGCGAATCACTAGTAGTGTCTATTTAAGTATCTATCTATGCGGTGGACAGAAGCAAGGCTGACTGTCCCGCTCGTGGGATTCTAGATCCTGCACATTTTCACAACGCCATGACGCATGATCTCCCCCCTTCCCCTCTTCTTTGGCGTCTCCAAGGGAGGGGTTCCCGGAATTCCATCGAGCAGCCACATGGACAATCTAGATTTCTATCTAAACTATATGGAATGTGGATGGTTGACGTGACAGGGGAATGCGCCCATGCTATTAGCATTTACTCTCTGGGCAATTCTTTCATCGCGTGTCTGAATTGCCTCCAATGCTATCCCTTGCGCGTATGTTTTGTTGAGTCTGTTGTTCTCCTGCAAGGGACCGTCTGCTGCAGACGTTGCACGACACTGCATCTGATTGCAGGACCTCCCATCGGTGACACTCATGGCCCAAGCAACGTCCGAGGGTACTTCGTAGCTAGTCTATCTAGGTATGATCACAACAGATCGCCAGCATCCGGATACCGCAAATCAGCATGCTCCTCCAGGAATCCCATCCATCGCTTAAGGAACCCACTGCCCCTGTGGAGAACAGTCGACGTCAACGATTTGCCTACAAAGTAAATGCTGACTATGAGAGGGGCACTCACTTGCTAATCGTCTCCGAGTCACCGCAGATGCACAGATGCCGTTTCGGCCGCGTCATGGCCACTAATGCTGTCAGTCCATGCACCCTCGCCACTTGGCAGGGATCTTACCGTTGAGACGACGCCGTTCCCCTAAGAATCCCACTTCGTGTTCGCTGTTACTGCGCACCAGACTCACCACCACCGCTTCCTTTTCACGCCCTTGGAACCCGTCGACGCTGCCCAGCTCAATGCTGGGGTATTTCTCCCGCAGCATCTGCGACAGCACGGCCAGCTGACCGTTGTATGGTGTAATCACCGCAATATCTTCGGGGTGTATCCCTGCGTCCACCAGCGCATCGACGTGCCGGCTCACCACTAGAGCCTCCATGTCGTTGCTCTTACTATCGCCCAGGTGGGCTTTCTTACCCAGATCCGCATCCTCGGTCTTTTCGGGAAAATCACCACCTTGCGTGTCCCAGAACACCAACGGCTCCTTGGTGTCATCGGTCTCCTCCACTTCGTAGGGTAGGTCCTTTAGCAGTCGAGCCTTGACAGAGTCTGCAGCCATCAATTTCGAGTCATACAACTCGTCCGACGGAAATTGCATAATCTTCTCGTGCATCCGGTATTGCGTCGTGAGCATCCGTTTGATTCCGGGGCCGTGCATCGACAGCAGTCGGTCGAAGAGAGTCGTCTCCAGAGAGAGATTGTCCAGCAACTCCCCGTTTTCTTTCTTGTCCTCCTCCTCTTTGGCCTTCATCTTCTTGGCATCATCTTTGGTCGACTTGACGGTCGGCGGCAGCTGCAAGTGATCACCAGCCAGGACCACCTTGGATGCCGACAACAACGGGATCCAGCACTGCGCCTCCAGTGCCTGACTCGCCTCATCGATGATGACCACATCGAACTTTTGGTTCTTCAGCTGGTGGCCACCTGCTCCATGCAGCGTTGCCAGCACCACGCTGCTCTCGCGGACCAGGTTCTCCACGCATTTGTTCTCGCGCTCGCGGAACTCGCGCCGCAGTTCTCGCAGATCATCGTAGATGGCCCGTCGCTCCCGTGCTGACCTGGTCTTTCGAATACTCGCCTGCTTCTGGTCGATCTCTTTGCGGACGTCGCGAACAATCTCCGCCGCCTCCGACGTATGCGTCAGCACTTCCAATGAATGATCCAGAACAGACGGTAGCAACCGCGCCGGATGTCCGATGCGCACCACGGGGACCTTCTTCGGTGCCAGTCTCTCCACGATGTTGTCGACGGAGATGTTCGACGGACCGCAGACCAGCACCCGCTGCTTGCGCTGCACCATCTGCACGATCAGCTCGATCAGCGTGTGCGTCTTGCCGGTCCCGGGCGGGCCATGAATGAGGGCAATCTCGCGCGCCGCCAGAGCAAACCGGATAGCCTCCTTCTGGGAGTCGTTCAGCGTAGGATCTGTAAACTCCAGAGGCCCGATAGAATCGTAGTCTGGCACCATAGGCGAGGTCTGACCAAAGGCCACGCGCATGAAATGGGTGTGTTCGGAGTCGGTCATTTTGACCATTCTTTCCATGGTCTGGTTCATCCTACACCATCAATAAGTATAGCTTTGTAGAATAAATGAATGGAGACATACCGTCTATACGTAACATCATTGGCGAGTTTGATCCTATCCCTATTAGCAACCTCACTCACCACACATTACCAAGAACATATCCAACAAGAATAAAGTAACAAGACGATAGACTCACATCCAAACCTTCCTCCCCCACAACTCCTCCACCCCATCCTCATCCTTACTCCCTCCCCCTTTCCCACCACCACCAGAATCCTTCCCCCCAAACGCAACCCAAACCGCACTCTCCCCAACCCTCGTCACAACCCCTTCCACCCCTCCTCCTTTACCATCTTTCCCCGCTTTCTCCTTCCCCTTCTTCCCACCCCCAGAACTAGAACTAGAACTAGTAATCTCAACAACCTTAACCACATCCCCAACCCTAACCCCATGCGCACCCAACCTCAACTTCCCATCCCCACCACCACCACCATTACCACCCTTAGAACCAGAATTAGTAGATGTAGAAGAAGTATTAGTAACAGCCGCATCGGCAACAAACTCCCCCACCACCCTCCCCCCCAGCCCCGTCCTACATTGCGACAGGACAATACCCGTCAAGGCGTGGCCTGTCGCTTGGAGTGTGCGCCGGGTGGATGGCGACGCGGTGGTGATGGCGCTGCTGGTGAAGAGGTTGTTGGAGGTTATTTCGGCGGTTTGTTCCAAGCGGAGGAGGGTGAGTTGGGTGGTTGCGAAGGTGGGGGGTGTAATTGGGGGGGACATTTTGTGTGTGTATTGTGTGCATCTGATGGGGTATGTATGTGTGTGTGTGTGTGTGTGTGTGTGTATGTAGGGGTGGGATTGGGATTGGGGCAATATTGTATATAGTAATAGTTGGAGAATGTTGATAGCGCGGGGAAAATATTCATCTTAGTTGTGGCTTGTGAGGGGTGACTTCTGACTTCATGCGGGTGCGGTGCGGTGCGGTGCTTAGTCATATCTATATATCTGTGTCTCACTGCATGGATGCATGCAGCATGATCACGAACCAACCCTAGCTACTAGCTACTACTACGTAGGGTATCAACACGACCGTATCTGACTCACTGGTGAAGGAGGGTGAAAATACGAGGCAGTCTCGTATCATCGTATGCTGCAGTTAATCTGCTATGGCCCCGTTTGGTGTTGATTAGTGAGCGAGGAATAGGTATTATCTTGGGAAGAACAACACGGTGATTCTCTTCTTTCTCTTCACTGTGTTTACTTTCTGGGTGCTTACTTTTGGTGTTTACTGTTAACTGCTTACTGTTTATTGTTCAGTTACGTGCATCACTCTACTCTACTCTCTGTCTACTAGGTAAGGATGATGAAAAGACAGACTATCTAGCTGCATACTATTTCTAACTAGGTCACGTCGTTAGTGATGGATACCATGCATATGTGACAGGCAGACACGTCAACACTTGGCTATCTCAGGGTGATCTTGAGTGGCTCTCTGGATGAACGGCAGGCTAAGTCTGGATCATCTTGATGAAGACAGACTCAACCATCCATATCTCGGGCAGTCAATACCATGAGGTAAGTGTTCGTGTTGCGTCGAGATGAAAAAAGGAAACGACACAGAGAAGAGAAAGAAGGAAAAGAAAATAACTAGAAACACCACAGGCATCTATCTGCATCAAGCATCGCTATCTGCATTAAGAATCATGATCATAAGAGGTAAGTGTTCGTGTTCTGTGAAGAAAAGACACATGAGAAAAGAAAAAGAAAGAAAAAGAACTAACAGCAGGATAAGCATCTATCACCTGCATGAGCATCGCTATCTGCATGGAGACGAGTTTTCGTGTTTCATCAAAGAAAAGACACAGGAGAAGAAAAAGTGGAGAAAAGAAAAGAAAACCACACCACGCATCTATGTGCATCAACTCGCTATCTGCATCGCATCAACCATCAAACCACGAAGATATGTGTTCCCTGTTCTGCCACAGACGAGAAAGAACTATGACACGATGGGCATCGCGGCATCTCAAGGAGCCCATCGCCCCATGACAGCCATCACGGCCTGTCTCTCGAACCCGCGGTCATCTCGCAGATACACCCGGTACCCTCGCAGCCCTCTCATGTCGGTAAACGCCATAAGCAGCCGGCGCAAATATCTCTTGCGGTTGTCCATAGTGTACATTGACGTGGCCCGGCCCTGGTCATGGATCTTCAGGGTTAGGCGCGCTAGATCAAAGTGCTCCCGGATGAAACGGCGCAGAACTGCCCAGTGCCGCAAATTCGCGTCCGCGGAACGGGCTCCCGTCTGCGGGGTGGCCCGAAAGCACAAGGGAAAGTGGAAAGTCAAGTTCTGCACCAGAATCGTGGATTCCGTGGGAATGCCACTCAGAAAGCCCATGGTGTAGGTCGGATCCTCCTCCACGAACATAAACTTGTTGCGGCCCCAGAAGACCTGACGAGCGAGCTCATGGAATTCCCGACTGACCAGGAAATAGCGCAATGGCGAGGCAAAGCAGGTGCAGCCCGTCGAAAATACCGTCTCGGTTTTATCACAGAAGCAAATGCCTCCAACCGGCGAGCAGGTGCCACAGCAGGATTTGAAGCGCAGACGGTCGCGGTAATCCAAGACGATCAGGCCCGGAACAGGATCGGCCATGCACGGATCGGACCGACAGATGAGCAGGTGCCCGAGCACCATCAGCTGAAGTTCCCGGGGCAGATACATGAACGGAAACGGCGGGACATCAAGATTGTCCGTCAGGCGGCGCGCCGTGCGCTTCATCACAGGCAGGAAACTATAGATCTTATCCTGATCATTGCTGAAATAGAAGGCACACTTGAACAGGCTGGGAAACGGATCCATATCACGCATCACACGAACAACCACTTCCTGCTCATAGGCTTTGCATTTGAGGCTGAAGTATCTGAGATTCGGCATGTCGATTGCCGCGAGCTTGCAGAACTCCGCCCACCACGTCAACAATGTTTGGTGGGAGCCACCTGCCAGCTTGAGCGTTCGGTTATCCTTATGACCGAGATCCACATGCAAGTACCGAATATGTTCCATGCCCCATTGCAATGATGCTTCAAAGTTTTTGTAGTCTGCCCGGCCGCGAAGAAACATGCTGAAGCGATTATGGGAGAAGAAATAGGCACCGGCCTCCCGGCGCAGGGTGTGACACGACAGGAACAACTGTGTCGGCAGCTTTGGATGGTAGCAGCGGCTGAGCGGAAGCCAAGGGCTGCGATGCGCTCGCAATTCGGTTCTATGACAATAAGGCGGGTCTCGCTTCATGCGGTCCCGCTCCAGGGTGAAGTCGATGATACAAGAACGACGCAGAGCAGCGAAGTCGAAGATTCTATTTCTGATATTTTCTGGCAAATCGAACAGTGTAGGGCCCTTCTTTGTGACCTCCATCCTGACAATTTAGGAACCAGACCTTCGGCAAGTCCCAGGTGGCGGTATGGTCGATTGAACGGTGACGAAAGCGAGAATCCAACTGTCGTCCTCGATGACACTAATTTCCATCCAACCTGCACATAATCGGACCAAGTTAGTAGGTTCACCGTGTCACACAATTAACATGATGGATGAACTTACGCTTAAGAGCGCGAGTGAGAGCTTAACTCGAGCCGAGCTAGCTGTTAAGCACAGCGATGAAAGTCTCGACAACGTTATCGAAGATCAACAGAATACAACTTGATAATTTGACGGAAGAGATGTCTGGTTAACACAGGTAAACACACGGTCAACAGAGGAAGAAGGCTGGTCTGGCAAAACAGAGTGGTTGTGTTTCCCCGCCAAACAATTGAAACAAAACATTAAGAGTGACTGACGAGTTGCCTGGGGCATTCAATCCCATGACTGGGTTCAACTTCTACTCCTGCTCGACCTTCACCTTTGGCCCCTCCTGCTTCACAGCAGCCTCTCGCTTTGGTGTTACGAGACCCCTGATTTCGCTCTTACAGAGCTTGGTTCCTGCAAGATCGCATTCGCCACATCTCCGAGCTACAGGTAAGCAGACTGTCTGTCCTAAGCCGACCAGCAGTTTGTTAATCTCGTGCCATTTGTCTTTCGGTAGCCACGATTCCAGCGCCATGCGAGTTTCCTCCGGATTCTTTGTCTTGTGCCAGCCCCAGAGATTGGTAATGCGATGAACGTGAACATCAACGCCAATGCCTTCGTGCTTGCCCCACGCCGCGCTCATACATAGAAACGCCATCTTCGGACCGACGCCGGGGAGCTTCATCAGTTCAGGAGCAGTCGACGGGATATCAGAGTCGTATTGATCGCGGAGGATAATGGCTGCGGCCTTGATATATTTGGTTTTGTTGTTGTGGAAGCCCACCTTGGCAATGAGCTCGTTGAGGCGCTCGGGGGTGACGGCTAGGATGTTCTCCAGATTCAGAGTGCTGTCCTTGACCTGGTCTGTGGGCTTCCAGTCATACTCTTCAGGCTCTTTCTTCACAATGCTCGTCGACTGGTCTCCAAGCTCCGTGTGCAACCGCTGCATGGCCACCGCCGTGACTGTGTCTTTGGTCTGAGACGACAGCATCAGTGCAACGAGAGTCTGGAACCGGCGGTCGCGCGGAGAGGACGCACGCCAGTAGAGTTCGGCGCAACCCATGGTGTCAACGGGTGCAGTGGGATTTGCCTCTCGCATCTTCTTGACCATGTCGTACATAGTCTCCCAGTTGGAGGGGGGCTGCATGGAGTAGGCGCCATTCTCGGTTTTGATCTTGCGAGCAGGTGTCCGTCGTGCTTTTGATGGCTTCTCAGCGGGCTCTTTCTTGATCGGTGCTTCTTCGACAGCAGTCTCTGCTTTGACAGCCCTGCGACTAGAGCGCGCATTCGCCCTGGTGGACGTCGCGCTCAACGCACTCTTGCGACGTTTGGCCGGCGGCTCCATGATATCCTCAATATCAACCGTCGGTACAGATGAGAGCGACGAACTATCATCATCACTGACAGATGCATCCGGGGCAGTAGCACCCCCAAAAGCAAAGCCCTGAAGGCGACTAGCAGCCTGAGCCGAGCTGCGAGTTGTTCGTCGAGCAGGAGGCGACAAAGCCTGCAGCACCTTGGCAGTTTCTTCAGATGCTCGAGAAGTGCGCATGTTGATACCAGCCTAGCTCTAGCTTAGATAAACTGTACTCCGTGCCGTAAAAACAATTCTTCACATGAAATTAGTGTAGTAAATCCGAGACCGACTGAATTTAGGCTCAACAAGGGGCGAGCGACTCAGTGACGGCGGATTACACATGGGGGTTCGGAAGCCGAGACCGACCGGAAACCAATCAACCGACGGGTAGTCAAGACCCACGGCTGGCATTGAGCCTCGGCGCGACACGAGCAAGCACCGCACCCGCACCAGCCACCGCGACATCCACCATCCACCTTATCTATCTCCATTCATTCAACCAACTATCAATCATTCCTATCAATTCACCCCTCCTCACATACCAATCTACACACATACACACAACTTAATATCCTCCCTCTTAAAGGGTATAAAAAGAATATGGCCTCCTCACAAACAACGCACCGCCTCCTCCGCGAACTAAAAGACTACACGAACTCTCCCAACGAAGCCCTCCTACACCTCGGTCCCGTCGACGAAGACGACCTCCTCCACTGGGAAGCAGTATTAAAAGGTGTTCCGGGGACGCCTTATGAGAGTACGCCCCTGCCCCATTACCATCCCCACATACATACATACATACCATTCTCCCCCCCCCCCCACTAACATCATCAAAAATGCTTCTAGATGGCCTCTGGACCCTCTCCATCCAAATCCCCCCAACCTACCCCCTCACACCACCGAAAATCACCTTCAAGACGAAAATCAGCCATCCGAACATCAGCTTCACCACGGGCGAGATCTGTCTGACGTTGTTGACCACGGAGCATTGGAGTCCTGTGTATACGCTCAGTAGTACGTTGAGTGCGATTCATCAGTTGTTGACCGATCCGAGACCGGATTCGCCGCTTAATGTGGATGTGGCGGCGTTGTTGAGGGATGGGGATGTGGCGGCTTGGGAGAGTTTGGTGAGGTTTTGGACCGAGGAGGAGAGGGCTACTCTATGATAGGTTATTGCGGAGCGCGGTAGCGCGGAGGGATTGGGGTGTGAAGGGTGGGATATATATATATACGATGGCTTGGGGTGGTAGTGGATTATGTGTTGATAGTAGTTAAATACCCAGGAGTACGATGTGATAGTACGATTATTCAGGTTCAGTTCAGTTTCAATTGTTGCAGTTGGTTGGTTGTAAATACACCAGTCAGAGTGACAATTCTAATATGCACACGCTGGAAACATAGTATGTATGTATGTAGTTGCAAATTGGGACAGGGTCATAAAGAGAGACATGTCATCATAAAAACAAATTCCTTTTCAACACCATTTGTGAATAAGTTGCAACCATTTATGCAGCGCTTTCAAGGAGAGACTGATATTTGGACGCCGGAGAAATATGCACATGCTAGCTTGTTTGCTTGCTCAAGGATCGTGAGGTTTCATAAAACATTTTCGAAATGTGAGAATAAAATTTAACGCCGAATATGCACTTGAATGGTAGAGTATTGTTGTCACAGGCTGAGAGAGGCTACAATGCCATGGCCACCACGGCAGCTCCTCCCATCATGAGAGCGAACTCGCGCGCGAATCCATTGGCAGAGGCAGCAGAGTCGGTTTGCAGTCCCGGGGACGCCTTGGTGCCGGTGGCCACCTCGCGGGCGGTCTCCGTGGGGTGCACGACTGTCACGGCTGTCACGGTGCTCTGCTGACCGTCGGGCAGAGTGGTGGTGATCTTGTAGGTGGAGGTGTACGGGGTGGTGGGCTGGCTGGTCGTGCTAGTCGTGCTAGTCGTGCTAGTCGTGCTAGTCGTGCTAGTCGTATCCTGCGATGTGGAGCTCGTGGTGTGCATGGTGGTCGACCTTGCGGTGGATGAGGTCGAGCTGGAAGTGGAAGTGGACGAGGTCGACGAGGTGGTGGTGGCAGGCACGCTGGTGGTAGAAGATGCTGTCCGAGTGTGAGAGGAGGACGAAGAAGAAGATGTGGATGAAGAGGTAGAGGCAGAGGTAGTAGAAGAGGAGGTGGATGAAGAAGAAGAAGAAGAAGAGGACGCAGTAGACGAAGTCGATGAGGTCGAAGAGGTCGACGTCGACGACGAAGAAGAAGAAGAGGAGGTGGTGGTGGTGACAGGAGACGTGGACGAGGAGCTAGACTCACTGCTACTAGAGCTCGACTCACTGCTGCTAGAGCTGGATTCACTGCTGCTAGAGCTAGATGTAGTCTGCACGGCGGTTGTATGCGCGGTGGTGGCGGCGGCGGTGGTGGCAGCGGAGGTGGGTTCGGCCGAAGTCGAGTCAGCGCTGCTGGCAGAGGTCTCCGCTTGAGTGGTGGCCGCAGCAGTCGCCGAAGTCGTGGCAGGTTCCGTCGCCTGGCTGGTTTCTGCAGCGCTCGTCGAATTGCTCACACCCTGTCGCTTGGCGAGGTTGGCCCGGCTGGACAGTGCAGCATACTCCTCCACAGTCTGGGCGTTGTCATCTGCGGACTGAAAAACTCCGTGACGGAACTTTTCATACAGATGCAGGGCCTTGTCCTCGAAGCTACTGAGATAGCCGTGGGAAGTCGAGTCGACCACCGAGTTGGCGGCATCAGACTGATCGGCAGTCGGGGCCGCGATAGCAGCGCAGGCGATCAATGACAGCAACAGAAAATGAAGCAAGCGAGTGAGGAACGCCATGGCGCAGGATCGATGTGATTGAGTTGGATGATAAGATTCAGGGGAAGAAGAGGAACCGACGATGGATGAACGGAGTTGACTATAGTTCGATCCGACGCCGAATTGGGAAACGGGACACTGAGTCGAGAAGATAGTAGCGAAAGAGGAAGAGGAAGATGAGCGATGGCGGGTTGGCAGATAATAAAGCTGGGCGCTAGCGAGAGGAAGGCTGTGAGGTGTCTCACCCAAAGTCTTCAGATGACGGTGAATTAGGTTGAAGACAAGCCACACCGGAAGGATGGGAATTGATTTTGGGGGGAGTAAGAAGACAAGAGTTGGTTGCCTGGCAGTGGATGGACTGATAAATACTAGTCAACGGGGACAAATGACTGGGCAGAAAAAACAAGGCAGGCCTGGTTCGGCTTGGCAGGTCCGAAGTGGAGCTTCGAGAAAATCCAGTCGGTCGAGATGGACAGGAATAGTATCGGAGATACGTTAGTTAACGATGTTACTAGTTTAGCCCTTCTAAAGGACGGAGTATTCCTAGCACAAATTGTGGCACTGCACTGCCCATCCTACCACCACTCGGTACTAGTACGACTCGACTACTTTCTAGTATACTACGATACTCACTATTTGCAGGTACGGATAACCGGCGTTTGGATTGTCTTGGATGGATGGCCCTGAACCTTGGGGACCACTTCTTTGGCTCATCCCAGATGGGGAGGGCAGCAAGCGACGGAGGTCCCAACTAAGGTATTGTCAACGTCAGCATCAGAGTCCAGCCATTGCGCCAATTCCCTTGTAGAATAGCGCTGGATAAATGCGGTACCCCAATTGTCTAGGCTTTTAGGGTCTGCAGTCGACACATACTTGATAGATAATAAATAGATAGATAACTGAATATTAAAGAGTGAAGGGAGTGAGGGGTATCTTCCCTACCCGCGACCGGAAATGTCAATCCGCCGGTCAACCTGTCTCAAATGTTTCACATTTTTTTACACCCCAAGAAAATTCTATAAAGTAAAAAGGAAAAACGGCGGGAACGTCCCGACTGAAAACCCCCGAATAAGGAAGGCAATCTGAATCAATGACGACACCATGAAATCAGTGACTTTCTTCTTTTCTTTCCTACTTTACTCTTTTCTGGTGAGATGAAATTGTGATAGGCGCGACTACTGTGAGTTTATAATGAGAGCACATGGAACTTACCGATGATCTATCTATAGCTTGATCAGAGAGTTAATTACTATGCAGTTAGGTAGTTACCCAGTGCGACCTGGTCTGTTCCTCCCTCCGTCACTGTGACTATTGGCAACCATTGTTTGAGTGGACTCATTCCCTTTCTCCCTTTCGTCAGGGGAAGATAGTTCAATCTTACGGTTCCTGGATCCCCTACTTCTCACGAAACAATAAGAAAAAAAAAATAATTCCCCCCTTCTTCAACAGCCAGAACCATGATACATACTCAGTCTATCCCAATTACCGATCGCAGACACTTCCACCATTGGTATGTAAATCCCCTCCCGTCTAGTCTACCCTGTCAAAACCATCAGTCGGGACTCCCGAGCAAAAAAACCTAGCAAGAAACCTCTCCGCATCCGGTCAAGTGTCGGCGAGGGGGGCTTAGCTCCGATTAGGTCCCACGCTAAACCACACAGAGCCTAGTGTCCACCGGATCGGGGATCTGCTAGGCTATTCTTGGCTCCGTAGCTGAAGTGGTGCCACTATCACGACATTTTATTGGCTCACAGCTTGGGAATGAGGCTTGCACTAGTCTGTCCCTGGATTAGTGCTCTTGATCCTGGTAGCTCATCTTGCTTCTTTCCTTCAGGCAGCGTTTAGGTAGATGAATGGGTGGGTGGCTTTGCCTCGTTGTTCCGTGGGTGGCCTAAGACAATATCTTATAATAAAATTATAGGCACTGATGGTGAATACGAGTAGGAGTCGCTCCAACGCAGTCAGCCACGGCTTATAATACTCCCGTATCTATACGACGTGGCATCAGCACTGTGTTAATTACATTTACGGTGGCTGGTATCTATTGGCTACTATATTTATCCACGCCTTGCAGCCGGCAGCAGCAGCAGCACAGCGGACAGCCAAATATATCTTCCGGTCGGGTTAGACTGTCCCACTTTTACAGCTGGATTAGCAAATCGTACTCTACTAACATGAACCGTGTCACATGTGATAGTCTAGTCTAGATTTACTGGATAGTATGTCGCCGCTCTTACTGCACCACCTATATTCCAATATTGACGGGACATATTATCTTGTACTTTCTACATCTTCTATACCTCAGCGTCTATTTCTTCAACAACTACCCTGCAATCCGAAAAGCTTATTCCCCCAGTGCAAACCAGAAATGTACCCGGAGGTATCATCTCCCCGCACTTGAATCCACTCACGCACCGCATCAGACAATGACAGCGGCCATGGGCGTTTCAGAATCGCCCCAAGGCTTGATGTGGAATCCACTTGGTTCCTTTTTCTGACAAGTCCGTTGTTCTATGGGTTGCATCGCAATTGCATATCCACCGTCTAGATGCTACCAAGCCGAGTCTTCTGTTCCTATTCCAATCTTTTCATTCGGCGTAAGCCTAGCGACATAAAACTCTCACATGTTTAGTATATCTCACCGAGGCCTGTTCCATCTGCGAAAAGGACCATACATATCATCAAACCTGATTCGTCGCTCCGCGTCAAGTTGCTTCTGTTCCAATTGACGCATTTCATGCGACCCATTCAGACACACCATGCCTCGCGTCTTGCAGTCATCGCAAATGGCAAACTGATAATCATTGCATCTCGAGCAACGATAATACACCCCATCACCGGCTATATAGACCTGACACATGTCGCAAGCTACTTCTCTTTGGTAGCCATCCAAGCGGAGGATAGATTCGGGAAGACTAGCTATCTTGTCGGAGCACTGCGACAATATCCCCAATATGTCATGAAAATTATTCACCTTCCGACCTTCCGTGACTGCACTTCTTCCACAGTCATCCAGTGCATCTTGATGGATCCCGGCGATTTGAATAATGCTGCTATCACCCTGACCCTTTCCACGTACCGTGGCGCTCATCAGAGGTGTGCATCGGTACCTGTTTTTCGCTATTGGATCGCATCCTGCTTTCAAGGGAGTCTCTACCAATGCTACTGAGCCACTTTTTATAGCCCAAAATAACGGCACTCGGCCATGGTGACTCCTGATGTTCGGGTTAGCACCATACCGTAGTAATAAACTTACCACGGCGTTTGTATCGCCAGTCCCGTTCGTAATCACTGCGCCATAGCTTCGTATTACTATCTCCCGGAGCCTCGAGGTACAAGCTCTCAGCGCCCAAAGAAGTGGAGATTCACCGGACTAATCAAGACATTCTATACTTGCGCCTTTTGCGAGAAGCATCTTCACGATGGACTCAAAGCCTTTCCCAGCAGCTCACATTATCGATCTCTACCGTATTCATCGTCAGGGTCAGCTTCTTCACCGTGAGATAGCAGAAGCTCAACCATGCAGTCGTCTCCAGTTACTGCTGCGAAGAACAGCGGTCTATGAGCAGCAATCTTACCCGACTTATTTCAAATATAAAGGGGTCCCTTGTATCATAAAGTATTGGCTCTCGAGCTCCACGCTCTGTGGTGCAAGGATTGGCACTCACTTCAAGTAAGGGCTTCGTGACTTCGTAATGACCAATCTGCACGGCATCAAAGAGAGGAGTTCGATCGTTCACATCTTGGACATCGAATGGAATCTGTTGTTCCAGGAGAGATTGTACTTTTGCTTCTAATTCACAAGGGGAATTCTTCTGAGCAGTTCGAGTAACGTCTGCTTCGCAATGCAGATCGAAGCCCTGGTACAAAAGAAACCTGGCGGCTTCATATTGGTCATTTGAGACTGCACGCAACAACGCCCAGCCTCCAATGGCAGTGGTGACGTTTGTATTTGCAAGTAGTAGCTGCATCATGGCGATATTCCGTGCTCAGCGGCAATTCCTATCAAACTCTTCTCTGGCCTTGTTGTCCCTGATGCGTCGGTATCATTTTCCACTTTGGTACCACTATCATCCTTTTCCCTCCCCAAGGCGACGCCTACCAATCTGCAGCAGATTACAAAGCCAAAGATCAAGAGAAGCAGTACACCCCCTTCACCGCCAGTGGATGGAATTACAACAATGGTGGCTGTCGTGAGTTTTTAGACGCCTCGGGGTTGCCTCTCTTTGAGCTTCATAGGAAGATATCACTGAGGAGTACGTGGATTGTAACCCTCCCGGGGAGTGGAGACTCTAGTTTTATACTGGCTACGGGTTCTCCGAGATTTGCGCCTGTGTTTGGGAATTTCAGTATCAAGTCGAGGAATGCAGCCGCGGCAGATTCGAAAGAGGAGGCGGACAAGGAGATCACGCTGGTTGTGGAGCGACATGGACGTGTCTTGCAGACAGTTCTGGTATTCGCTTGTTGACGAATAATCCGGATAAGCTCGGGGAAATTGAAGGTCCTCATGGGGAGCTCACAGTGAAAGAGAGGGTACCGATAATTCCATTGCCGGCAGATTCATCGAGAGGCTGGGAGTCCAACAGCATTGAGCTTCATAATTATTTACAAACCAAGGTACTACCTGATTTGATTCGCAAGTCTGAATTTCTTACTGATAATGATTAGGCAGACAGGATGGGGCATCTCCTGTGAAGAGATAAGAAGAGTCTGAACAATGAACCTGAAGAGTTGTCATGTCGAATAGTTATGTTGGAAAGGGAACCAGATGATGTTTTAAGGACTAGACTAGAATCTATGTAACAATACTTAATAGATCATAAGAATTACGCACAGCAACTAACTTGGACACTTGCTAAAACTCAGATGCTTTGTAAGAATACGAATTGCTTTCACCGGTAAATCATTTGTGTGTTCTGCTATATAGAAAGCACACTAATCATAAGGAGAGAACTATTATTTCTCCATCTTGTTCCGATGACGGAGATCTGGGGAATAACGATAAGTATATGGCTTACGAATAGGACATGGTGAACACAAAAAGGAAAAGTAATAATCAATTATTTTAAGTCCATTTACATTCCTACTGTGCATATCAAACAATTCCATCCAGAACAAATGATCTTTTGAACGTTCGGATTCTGATATCAACTTCCAAAAGTTATAAACCTTCCTTCGGCTATCGAGCAGTCTGCAAATTATCCACTCTACTATTGGCGACTATCATTTCCGTGTTCAATAGTCACTAACAATATGCTTGCGGCATTTTGTGTACAGGAAGCAGAGGTAAAGAAGCAGCGAGAGGCGAGTTGGGTCGAGATTCAAGATAACCTCATGACTATAGGAACCGTTCCAGTACGTCTTCCGACGATCCCACTCAATAGAGACTTATTCCTTCTCGAGATCTCCACTGGGGAGACGTAGTACTTCTAGTGAAAGCATATAAAATACGATAGTTAACCGAAACATTGAAGGCGAAGTATGCGGTCCGAGTCTCCGAGCTCCCGAGCTTCCGGGCGAAGCAACGACCAAGAAGCTCAGCCCGACTGTCACCGAACTGAAGTCTAGACAGTGACTTCATCGCATCAAGATGGACATCTCAATGTCGCCAGAATGTGTATATAAAACACCTGCTCTTGCCCCTCCCAGATTGCTTCTGGGTTCTACTTCTATCAAGCTTTATACCACTGGTAATTTCATAACTCAAGTACTCAATATTCTCTACTTTGAATTACTCCTACCATATTCTCAAGATGGTTTCCCAACACGGTGTTCACCATGGTATCCACCACGTCCACGAGACTCCTATCCAGGAGCTACCTCATATGAACTTCCGTTCGTACGTCGAAGCCCTCAAGCAAGACAAGGACCTCGTGGAAATCGACCGGGAGATCGATCCGGACCTCGAATGCGGTGCCATCATGCGCAAGGTCTGCGAAACTGATGACAAGGCTCCCCTCTTCAATAACCTCAAGGGAGCTCACAATGGCCTCTGGCGTATCCTCGGTGCCCCCAACTCTCTTCGGTCGGGCAAAGACAAGTACGGCCGACTTGCTCGTCATCTGGCCCTCCCCCCGTCTTCCGGCATGAAGGAGATCTTGGATAAGATGCTCTCGGCAAAGAATGCCCCACCGATTCCCCCCAACGTTGTCAAGACTGGAGCGTGCAAGGAGAATGTGCTGAATGAGGGAGAGTTCGATCTCACGAAGCTCCCGGTCCCTCTTCTGTACCAGGCTGATGGCGGAAAGTATATCCAGACTTATGGTATGCACGTCATCTCCTCACCAGAGAAGGACTGGACCAATTGGTCAATCGCCCGTGCTATGGTTTACGACAAGGACCACCTGGCTGGTTTGGTGATCCCACCCCAGCATGTCTGGCAGATGCAGCAGAAGTGGAAGGCCATTGGCAAGGACGTGCCCTGGGCTCTGTGCTTTGGTGTTCCCCCTGCTGCTATTATGGCCTCTAGCATGCCACTTCCAGACGGCTGTACTGAGGCTGGGTATATCGGCGCTATGACAGGTCACGCAATTGACGTGGTCAAGTGTGAGACGAATGACTTGTACGTCCCAGCTAATGCCGAGATCGTTCTTGAGGGCACTATGTCTATTACGGAGACTGGTCCTGAAGGTCCATTTGGCGAGATGCATGGGTATGATATACACAGCTTCCAATCTACCCTCAATTGATACTAACCCTGCATGCCCCTTGATAGTTATGTCTTCCCTGGTGATTCTCACCCTTGCCCTCTCTACAAAGTGAACAAGATCACCTACCGCAATGGTGCTATTCTTCCCGTTTCGAACTGCGGTCGTTTCACCGACGAGACTGTGAGTCGATTGAGACTCCTCTCGATAGCTCCATAAACTAACTCAGACTGTCTCCCCATCTAGCATACCATGATCGGACCCCTCGCCGCTGCTGAAATTCACCAACTCTGCAAAGATGCCGGTCTCCCAGTCAAGGAAGCCATGTCCCCCTTTGAATCTCAAGTAACCTGGGTCGTTCTTCAAATTGACGGCGCCAGGCTCCGACAAATGAAGACTACCTCTGAGGAACTTTGTCGTAAGTTCGGTGACTTGATTTTCAACCACAAGGCCGGCTACACTATTCATCGGCTACTCCTTGTGGGTGAGGATATTGATGTGTACAACTGGAAAGATGTGATCTGGGCTTTCTGCACCCGTTGCCGGCCTAGTCTTGATGAGTACTTCTACGATGATGTCCGTGGATTCCCTCTGATTCCGTACATGGGCCACGGAAACGGTTCCCCTGTCCAGGGTGGCAAGGTTGTCTCGGACGCTTTGATGCCTACTGAGTATACAACTGGACCTAACTGGCAGGCTGCTGACTTCAAGAACTCATACCCCGAGGCCCTGCAGGCTAAAGTCAATGCCGAGTGGGCCTCGATGGGCTTCAAGGCTGATCATTAGGAAGATGACATTGGGTTTGTGCATTACGCACATGTGTTTGGAGGGTCCAAGACCAGTTTGAAAAATCTTGTCTGAAACTTTTAATAATGTACTCTATAAGTATCGCTTCACTGTATTACTCTATTCAAAGTCTTATGCATTGTTTCCTTGTCTGCAGTTGTTATATAGTCAATCATTAATTCATATTATCTTAATTTAAATACGATTACAGCCTATGACCATCTACCACCGACCTAACGCACATATGTCAGATCTTCAAAAAAAAAAAAAAAAAAAGATTACCAGCTTCTGATGTACATAATCAATAACACTCATTCGTAACTATACAACTACAAAACCTAGATAATGCAAAAAGCTATAAAACCATATGCACCACACAACTACAATCCTACCCCCCACCCTCATCCCGCAACCGATGCTCCAGCCTCAACTCCCCGGGATCATTCTCCTCGAACCCAAAATTCCAAATCCTTTCAGCCATCGTCAACCTTTCCCTATGCTTCCCCAGCGCATTCGTCTTCGAGCTCCTACTCCCAACATGCTGCAATACACTAGGCGTCAACGCCCAGCGAACCTCCCCGTTCTGGTCGGCATAGCTCTCCGTGAGCATATCCACATACCCAACTTTATTCCTCTCGTACCAAGATACCAGGTCTTCGATGCGGGCCTGTGGAAAGACGAATCCCTGAGAGCAGCAGCCGAACTTGGGCATCGCGTGCACGCCCTCGGGGATTGGGAGCATTGTGTGCCGTCCGGCGGCGAAGAAGAGGGTGATTAGGAGGGGAGTAACCACGAGGGAGAGGAGGGTTATGATCTCGTTCGAGAGGTATCTGGCTGTAGATGGGCAACAGTATCGGGTTGCTGTGGTTGTGGCCACGATAACAGACACGGCAAGGAGAGAAAAGAAGAGGTAGATGGGCCATTCTTCTGAGTTCCATCCGAGGAATATCTCGGTGTAGAAGAGTCGGAGATATAGCCCTGTGATGATATCTCTATTAGCTTATCTCCCATGGGATATCTGTCATCGAAAGGTGAAAACATATCTTACACTGCTGACCTCCCCCTTCCTCCTCCGCCTTCCGCTCCGCGACATCCAAAGCCTGCTTAGTCCGATGATACCACCCATCCAAGGCAACAACATCATCCTCCAGCATCACCGTATACGACGTATTTTGCTTACCGCACTCTTTGAGGAGATACGTATAATCAAACAGACCCTTCTCACGAGCAAACTTCTTCGCTTCTGGCGTCTCCAAACTGCGAATACGTTCTATATCCACCACATCCGGATCATATACGAGCACTTCGTCAGCAAGAGCATGGAGCCACGGCTCCATATACGCTGGATGCTCCGCTGGATCAGAATGCGCGATGAAGATGATAAGGTACATGTCCTCTCTCTCTGTCGCGGTAAGGCCCTCGAGGATGGAGCCGACTGCGCCCTGGAGGTAGCGTGCACCCTTTCGGGCTACTGAGGCAATTCCGACGCACATCGTGGGATGGGCGGAGGCTTTGGTGTGGAAGTGCTGGGGGAGGGTGTTGCTGTTGGCTTGTTGGATGAGTTCGTTGGCTTGTTCTGTGCGGAGGGTGGAGTAGGCCGGCTTGTATGCTTGGTCTGAGGCGAAGAAGGCGGATGTGGGATCACGCCAGCATGTTAGGCGGGCTAGGTTTATTGCGAGGCCGTAGAGGAAGACGAATATGAGTAGTAGATGGTATGTGTGTGTGTTCAGAAAGATGAGGGAACATGGTCGTAAGAGTCGCCTTGGGAGAAGCATTTGGGGCGTGTTGGATATAGTGTCGTGGGTTGGGAGGCATTTGACAGGTCGCAGAAGATATTGGGCTGCTTGAATCAAGTAGTAATGATATTTGACCGGAGAGACTAAGGTTGCTCGCTTGGATGATTGGAAGTACCTAATAACGGTTTAATTTGCCTATAATCTCTAAAAGCCTCCCCCGGACTACGCTAGTAGGGCCTTGTAGGGATGAACGGGCCCCTTAGCGTGAGACTCCTTGAAGCGATGTAACATTAATATAATATCTGGACCCTGAGATGCATGTTTGTGAATCAGCATTGTCTCTCGGTGTCCTAATGCGCATAAAGTCTCCCAGGTACTTTACCGAAACGCTACGATATCCCCGTAGGGAGATAGAACAGGTCATAAGAACTCTGCAAAGTCGGGTGGAGACCTCTTAATACGATGTTGGTCCAACATAAGAGGGGAACATGACGTGGGTTACTCTCAATGGTTCATTCAGGCTGTAAGCGCTGCTCTGCGACGGATTTTCCCGACAGGGCATCCCAGCTCATGCAAGCCGTTCATCCGGCCCAAGCCACCAAGCCGCTAGATCGGGACCAACTCCATCTAATGCGGACTAAGTGATTAGCACAAGGCACGGGTTTCCAATCATATGGCACTCAAGTGGATGACCAGGAACCGAACTGGTCGGGGTAACAAGGCTGCTACCCCCCTAATGCTGGACGGTTCTCTCCCTAATATCGCATTTTTCAACATCTGCACATTTGGACCTCCATAGTAACCTTTATCAGTTGAACCTGGTCCGGGGATCTGGGTCTCATCGAACTGATGAATAGCCTCATCAGCAAATATCAAATGCGCGGAGAGATCTTGTCCGTAGGTGTGATGGACTGCGACATCGATTACCGATATACACAAGCCGTCAATAGCAGGAAGATTGAGGTCCCCAACATTATCATCACGGTCACGCTGCGTTCCTCTGGGGGCTAAAGACAACGGCGTGGTCCCCTTATTGTCAATATTGGCGGTTGTGATAGTTGCTCTCAGGACCTGGTCGAGACTTTACCTTGTATAGGAATGTACTGGACTTTGCTCTTCTCATGTTTCTCGATGCCAGTTCTAGCTCCGAGCCGTTTTCAATGTCCACAAAAGCAGCTTTTAGTGCTGTGGGTATACAGAAAGCATTTCCGACCGTCGAATTAGAGTCTCGGGAACTCGGGAGCAGACATGCTCGCGAAGTTCATCACCTCATTCCAGGTCTGCTATCAGAACAAGCTCCCGGCCGTGCTCCCTCGCTCCCTCATCCTCACCAGCCAGCTCTCCATTGTGTGGAAGATGCCATGCTCCCCACTATCATGTTGATTACCATAGTTTCACAAGGCTCGGGAAATGGAAGTGTAACGTCAGCATGCAATTGGGGGGTAATGATATCGGACACATCATAGGCAAGGACAATAACAGCAGCGATACAGTCTTTGAGTAGGTTGTCGAGGTTCCAAACGTCGTTGGCACGGAGACAATTCTCTGAAGCCACTCCGATAACTTCAATATTTGCCGTGGCATATAGACCTGCTTGTTCGGCGTTTCTTCGAGAGTGATCGTGCAGGGAGTGTGGAGGTGTTGAATGTCGTGAATGCCCCCACCCCCCCCCGTCGTGGAACTTGGTTCAATATATTTTGGCACGACTTCAGCATCTCTGTAGGAGGCTATAACATTGTCAATATTGACTCTCTCTCCCTCGTAGTAGGCAGGCTCCGTTAGGCTCCATCCGTAAAAAAAAGAAAAAAAAAAAAAAAAAAAAATCAACAACAACAGTAACTACAAGCCCACGAGTGTCAGAAAGGTTTCAACTGTCGATTCCGCATTTCCTGCCATTTCATGACCACCTCGTTCTTGTATCTATTCACAGTTAATGTGGAGCGATCAGTAATGCTGTTCATCACGTTGACCACGGAGAGCTTATGTTTTTCTTGGAAGTTCATAGATGAGCATAATGTCTGCGAAGTCTGGGACTCGGAGCGGACCGTGGTCGGTATTGTCAGGCGTGATGGTGGGATTCCTGTATGACGAACCATGTTAGTTAATTAGTTAATCATTGTTGTAGACGCTTATCGACCAGCACGAGAAAAGAGAAGGAAAGTTGGTCAATGGAGATGATTCAATTACCTCTGCTAAATGTAAACAGGAAAAACAGCCGAGGTGGGAACACTACGTGCTTTCTGGTTGTGGGACGGTAAAGCGGCCACACCCGCGGTGTCCTTTACTGTTCAGCAGGCAGGAAATGGAGACATGACAGTGTCAGACCTTAGGTAATGAGCGACATTGAGGATCTTAGCCTGGGTGACTAGTAGCTGAAGAATGGGTTGCGAGAGATGTTCAGTAAGTGCAACGAGCGATGATGCAGCTTAGCACTGATTTCGCCAGGATTGTTGTTCAAGAATATATAAATTCAGAGTACCAAGAGCAATAGGAGTTACCACCCAGAAAATATTGCCAAATTTCTTCGTCAATAGTTGTAGCAATTCATCATCAATTGGATTCTACCAGATTGGAACTTTTCTCAGGAGTGCTTAGATATATATATATCGGATATCTATGTATACATAGTAACAGCCTTCACAACAGAGCAGGAATTTAAGTCCCAGAGTAGGACACAACGACGAGGCTAAGGTGAGGTCTAATAGTAAGTAGCTACGAGTAGTAAATATTCTTCTGAAACGGTACTCTACAGTCAGTGACAGTAGAGCTCCTGATATGAAGATAGAGCCACAAATAAAAATGGTATTAGATGCTGCCACCGTTCCGGAACGAATGAGTAGAATCACTATTTACTATTCGGCATTCGTAACGTCGACTATAATGTATAACTTCGGTCGGAGGAGATGCTAACTATATATATTCTATCTACGATTTGTGTCGATATTTTCAAGAAATAAGGATAGAGCTCAGTCGGGCGTAACCAACAGTTGAATGAAGGATACATAGGATGGGATCGCTTCAAAGTCGCTTATACAATAGCACAAAACATGTCATTCCAGTCCTGGCCAGTCAATGAGAACAGCACATGCTCGGAAGAATAGAAGCCGCGAGTTGCTGCCTAAATTTGGCGAGTCCTGTCATTTCTGTTTGTGGTGGGTGGATCTGTGGTGCAATCTAGACTCTTCGTCTCGGTTGCAGAGGGTTAGACGTGGAGTCCGATGGATTTCTTGGCGACCGATTGACACACAACACTATACCGACGGGCTGATCGGTATTTAGCAATATGTAACAACCAAGTAGAAGATATTAAGACCCTCTGGAATTGAAAAAGGTGTTTCCCTTTTGGCAACTCGCAGTGAAACGAGGTGAGACCGCGGGTTGAAGTGTATGCCTTAGACACCCAAACACACACTGTGCGAATGCCAAGAGTCTCGGCTCGGTCGGACTGGACCAGTCAAGTCTCAGTTGTTTGCAGGCACCCAGATATTCACACTTTACAGACAGTATGGCTCGTTGGCTAAGGTACAGTCGGTCTTGTGGGAGTGGACTTGCTCCATATCACATGGCCAACGGTTTTGGGTTCCAAAGCGGTAATGTGCCAGATGCTGAAACATGCCTCTGATTTGGTTTACCGTTGGAGTAAATACACACCTGGTTTAGGAAGGTCAGCAGCACACAATGGGCGGCGCTAATCGGCTCCGGCGGGGCCCGCGAATCCGTGCGTTGACGTCAGCTTCCTATTTTTGGTGAGACATGGACTGTCGAATAGATAGTAGGCGCGCCATGTTCTTTGATTGCCTTTGTGATAATGCAGGCACTGAAGCCAGACTGTGCCTATATACCTGTAGCAGCGTCCTATGTGCGAGGATTGAAGCTCGAGATATCCCGAAGCAACATTTAGTTCTCAAATTCTGTCGCGATAATAGGAGTGGATGGCAATTGCCAGAGACATAGCATCCAAGTGAATCCGTGAAAGTTTTCCTTCAGTTCCAAGTAAGGGAGCCCGTGTCGGTCGCACAAAGTCCATGCGACCAATCTATCGATGCCATGCCACCACCTCAACTAATTATAGAATCCGACAAGATCTTTGGAGGGTGGAAAGCCACACCAGGTCCCTCTGCAGTGGCGAGACAAAGCAGGAGCCACGTTCAGTGCAGTCGAACTGAAACAGTTAGTTTGTAAATACAATCTTTCTGGGAAACCTTGATGGGACCGATCTTCCAGGCACGGCAGGGAGCGGGAAGCCTGGGTTTGGACCCCAGAAAAGGACGAGACTCCTTTTCCGCTGGAAGGTGCCTTGCTTTTGCTACTAGCGTGTGGCGGCAGGAGAGAATTTATACCCAGCCCTTGAGGTTGGGTAATCAGATGGCTGGCTGTTCAGGGATCTGACTAGAATGTCAGCATTATTTCTGACTATCTCTTGCGCGTGTTGAAGGTGTGAATGGCCCGTTGTGAGCGATGGAATGTCAACCCTTGTAACGAGCAACCGAGCTGGTACGGGCCATCAGGGTCCCAAGGGACTTGCCAGGGACCATCCAGGGACTTTTCAGGGACTGGCCCCACCGGGAACTCTTGGCAGGCTGGGGGCCCCACCCACACGGTCGAAAAGACGAGCAGACGAGCAGCTTTCTTTGTGCGCCTCTCTTGGCCTGCATTCTCATTTGTTCCGGCCAGGGAATCGGACGGGGCCAGTCCCTGCAAAGTGGCCACGGCAGCCTTTCATCGGCGCCTTGGCCCAGTGTGAGACCCTTTTTCGCCCACAGGCGATCTGACGATCGGGATGGCCACAATACAATCTCCCCTGGGACTTCCGCTGACCTGCCGTTTGGAGGGTGTTGGATCTGCCCATGAAAAAAAGGAAAGAATCGCTTGGATGCTTTCCTCATTGGTCCGTAGCATCTAGTTTGAGCGGAACCAACAATTTCCCACACATGCCGTGGCTGCTTGCAGGCGTAATGTTTGTTTGCTTGGCAAGACCCTGACGGATTCACAAAGGCGCGAGCAAATTACCCCAGTGGACGTCAATAATGCAATGCAGAAGGGATGGTCGGCCTGCCTCTGCCTGCTTTAAGGCGTGTGCCACCCACTCCCTCCTCCCCCCCCTTCCTTCCGCTTCCATATTCGCTGGCTGTTTTTTGCTCTTTCCTCCTTCACCCTTTCGGTCGTTCAACCTCGTCGCCGCTTTTCTTCCGGCATTCTTCAAATTCCTCTTCAGTCACTCGTTCAGACCTCTTTTTAGTCTCTCGCTTCTTCTTCGCTCGCTGTTCTCTAGAACCATCCTATATCCGGCGCCGTCTGCATATTTCATTACCCTACCTTCTCAGTCATCTCTCACTGACAGGCCGCCCTGACACTCATTCTTTGTCTTAATATCATCTGCCTTGTATCTTCTCACCTACATCATCATCTCTCACAATGAAGGGCACCGCTGTCGCGACTGCCCTCGCTCTTGGTGCCTCCACCGCTCTCGCTGCGCCTTCGTCGACCATAAAGGCCCGTGATGATGTGACGGCCATCACCGTCAAGGGCAATGCCTTCTTCAAGGGCGACGACCGCTTCTACATCCGTGGTGTCGACTACCAGCCAGGTGGTTCCTCCAAACTCGCTGACCCCATTGCCGATGCCGATGGCTGCAAGCGTGACATCGAGAAGTTCAAGGAGCTCGGCCTGAACACCATCCGTGTCTACTCGGTCGACAACTCCAAGGACCACGACGAGTGCATGAACGCTCTGGCGGATGCTGGCATCTACCTGGTGCTGGATGTCAACACCCCCAAGTACTCTCTCAACCGTGCCGATCCCGCCCCGTCGTACAACGATGTGTACCTGCAGTACATCTTCGCCACGGTCGACAAGTTCGCCAACTACAAGAACACCCTGGCTTTCTTCTCGGGTAACGAGGTCATCAACGATGGCCCCTCCTCCAAGGCTGCTCCCTATGTCAAGGCTGTCACGCGTGATCTGCGTCAGTACATCCGCAGCCGCAACTACCGTGAGATCCCTGTCGGATACTCTGCCGTAAGTCCACATATCAACCCACTACCAATTTCAGTTCGAATAGACACTAATGACGACCGGGGATGCAGGCCGACATTGATACCAACCGTCTTCAGATGGCTGAGTACATGAACTGCGGTACCGACGATGAGCGCAGTGACTTCTTCGCCTTCAACGACTACTCCTGGTGCGACCCCTCCTCTTTCACCACCTCCGGCTGGGACCAGAAGGTGAAGAACTTCACCGGATACGGCTTGCCTCTGTTCCTGTCCGAGTATGGCTGCAACACCAACAAGCGTGAGTTCGAGGAGGTCAGCGCTCTGTACGACACCAAGATGACCGGCGTCTACTCTGGTGGTTTGGTCTACGAGTACTCCCAGGAATCCAGCAACTACGGTCTGGTGGAGATCGATGGCAACAACGTGAAGACCCTGTCCGACTACGATGCGTTGAAGTCGGCCTACTCCAATACTAGCAACCCCGAGGGTGACGGCGGCTACAACAAGACCGGTGGTGCCAACCCCTGCCCGGCCAAGGACTCCCCCAACTGGGATGTTGATGGAGACTCCCTGCCCGCCATCCCCGAACCCGCTAAGAAGTACATGACTCAGGGCGCTGGTAAGGGCGCCGGATTCTCTGGCTCTGGTAGCATGAACGCTGGTACTGCGTCCACCAGCACCGCGACCCCCGGATCGGGCTCGGTTAGCTCCTCGAGCTCCAGCTCGGGCTCGAGCGGCACCTCGACGAGCTCCACGGGCGCTGCTGCTGGACTGCAGATTCCCGGCCTCGCCATGGCCCCTGTGATGGTGGGACTGGTGACGGTGCTGTCCACCGTCGTCGGTGCCGGACTCGTCCTGCTGTAAGGAATGAGTTGGGTTAAACGATCTTTCGTATCTTTTCATGCGTTGGTTCTTTGCGTTGTGTCTCTTTTCTCCTTCTCTCTTCTCTTTCTTATTTGTTTGCTGCCGGAAGGGGGTTTAAGTAGTGCCGAGTGGGTCTAGGCGCGAAGCAGCATTCTGACATGTGTACAGTTGGGTTGGACCATCCTTAGCCGGTGCCAGTCGATGTGTAGAGTATCTAGTAATGAACGGAACCCAGGTAGCACCCCTGCTTTTTTCAGCCTTTCCTGTTTTCCCGCATGGTGACTGTCTGGACAGTGCAGCAGAAAAAAAAAACATCCTCTTCCTGTAGGCTGGCCAGGTGGGCCCACATTTGGGGGGCGGACCGGAGTTTTGCAGGGAAAATAGATTGCAGCGCCGCTGGTCTGACACTTTGCCCGTCTCAGGTTTGGCCGCCGGAGGATCTGGCCGGGCGGCTGTCTCCATCTCTCCGTCGCAGCACTCGTGCTCCTGGCAAACTCCCTCTCTCAATCTATCTACTCCATCTACACTATCTATCTATCTACCCCTCATCATGCACCGGTCAGTCTCCGGCTAGCTGACCCATTGAGGTTTTTGACCAGTAAGTCATCCCGGGTCCCTGAACTTGGCCCATGAACCCCTTGGCTCATCTCGAAATAGATCCATAGCCAGTCTCCCTCCTCGACGGGTGGGTTCCCGGACATTGTCCTGCACCTTGGCAGCCCTTTCAGTCTCTCCCCGACGATAGAGAGAAGAGAGACCGAGACAATCCTTGTGGCACTCGGTCAATTCCGGTGGGACCCCGTTCACGGAGAGAGACGGTGGATGTGTCGAGGCCAATAGACCCCCCGACTATGAAAGGGTGAAGCCAATGAGGAGTACGGGTTTAGTGAGCAATCCACCAGCGCGCGAACTTCACGGAGGAGGAACGTTTTGGTTAAATGGGCTTGGCTAGGAACGAGCTCCTGGGCGCCATCATGCTCAAACCACGGCGGCCGTTGTGTGAAACTCGTGCCGTTTAGTGAGGCTTGGCACGTCCCACTGAGGAAGATAAACCTCACAGCTAGAAGCGCTCTAGCAGTCCCGCCGGAAATTGCTTATCTTGCTTCGAGCCACTGACAGCCGCCGTCCCCCCGTCAGAATGGAGGCCGATGGCCGAGAATGCCCTCATCCATGCCTCCTTTGGGCGTCTGAAGAGTGGGCGTCTGCCCAGCCAGTGTCCACCCACTCAATTTCTTCAATGCATTAGCCTTGCCCTCCGCCCTCCCCCTTCAATATGATTATCATATCACCACCGTTTAATGGCTCCGCTCTCCATGTCATGGCCGTCGGACCATCCCCACGCACCCCTTCCTTGAGTCCTATATATCAATGGCCCTCGCCGCTGCCATTATGGATTTCTCTTCTCTGTTCTTTTCCCCATCTTCACTTCACTCTTGTTCAAGGGTTTTCATTCTTTTTTTGCCGCCATTCTTTCTACCTTGGGTTGCTGCTGGGCCAGCTTGACATACCCAATTCTTTGACACTCCTTTTTTTCGAATTTTTTCTTCTTCCTTCGTGGCCTATCTTTACAACTTTGCGTTTTTCTGCATTTCGGGTAAATCCAGGAAAAGATGCGTTCCGTTCTCCTCGGCGGCGTGGCCGCCTTGAGTTACGCCTTGGGCGTCTCGGCCAACGCCTACAACACCTCCGCCTACACCGATTCGGCCTCTGGCATCGAGTTCCAGAGATGGTGTGATACCGATGACACCGGCTTCTGTTTCGGTATTGCCCTGCCCGAGGAGACCACCGGCACCGATTTCATCGGTCAGATGGCCGTCCCCTTGTCCAGCTCCAAGGGTTGGGGTGGTGTCAGTATGTCGGGGTCCATGACCAACGTTCTCCTGATTGCCGCCTGGCCCGATGGTGATTCGGCCGTTGGAACTCTGCGTGAGGCTACGTCCTACGTCTCGCCGTCCGTCTACAGCGGTGATGCTTCCATTGAGGAGATCCCCGACGGCACCTCCGTCAACAGCACCTACCTGACCTACACCTTCCTGTGCAAGGGCTGCATCATCGGTCAGCCCACCACTTTCGACGCCAACTCGACTAGCTACTACTTCGGCTGGGCTCTCAGTGCCTCGAACCCCACGACTCCCTCCTCCGCCTCGTCCAAGATGCCCTACCACGCTGCCGGCTATGGTGGTTTCGAGGTGCAGCTGGCCGAAGCCAGGTCGTCCAAGTACTCCACCTGGGCCTCCAAGGCTGTCGCGACCCAGTCCACTGCTACTTCGGCTTCCGCTTCCTCCAGCGCCTCTGCCTCTGCCTCCACCTCTCCCTCTGCCAGCGTTGCCGCCACGGTCTCGAACACGACCTACGATTACATTGTTGTCGGTGGTGGTGCTGCTGGTCTGGTTGCTGCTGAGCGCCTGGCCGAGACTAAGAAGAGCGTCTTGCTTATCGAGCGTGGTGTGGCCCCGACCGTCGAGCTGGGTGCTACCGACTCCTTGTCGTGGAACTCCTCCCTCACCGCGTACGACCTGCCGGCTCTGGGCACCTACATTCAGGGCTCCGACTACATTAGCCAGTACCTCTGCGATGACACTGCTGGCATGGCTGGCTGTGTTCTGGGTGGTGGTACCATCGTCAACGCCATGTCTTTCATCTACCCCCAGGAGGCCGATTTCGACGACAAGTGGCCCACCGGCTGGAAGTGGAAGGACGTCAAGGCTGCTGCCGAGCGCTTCTACGCCCGCAACCCCGGTAGCACCCTCCCTTCGGCTGATGGCAAGCGTTACGACCAGGGCATGTACACCGTTCTCTCTTCCTTCCTGAAGGGTCTCGGCTGGAAGTCCGTCGACTCCCAGGAGCAGCCCAACGAGAAGCACATGGTCTACAGCTACCCCTCCTGGGATGTCGGCAACGGTATCCGTGCTGGTCCTGTCCGTTCTTACCTGCCCCTGGTCCAGGACGCCGACAACTTCCACATGAGCCTGAACACCAAGGTCCGCCGCGTCGTCCGTCGTGGTGGTCGCATCACCGGTGTTGAGGTCGAGAACTCCTCTGGCGGCATCGAAATCATCAACGTCCGCGCCGGTGGTAAGGTTGTTCTGGCTGCTGGTTCCATGTCCACTCCCCGCATCCTGTTCAACTCCGGTATTGGTCCCTCTGAGCAGATTAAGACCGTCCAGAGCGGCAGCACTGGTATCACCCTGCCTCCCTCCGCTGAGTGGATCGACCTGCCCGTCGGCGACAACCTCCGTGACCACCCCATGTTCACTGTCACCGTCAACACCAACAGCAACTTCACGCACTTCGACACTGAGAGTGCCGTCTCCGGCGCCACTGCCCCCATCCGCAAGCTCTACTCCGAGGGCTCCGGTGTCATGACCCAGGGTGGCCACCGTCTGCAGTTCTGGACCTCCAACGTCGGTACTGACGGCGTCACCCGCTTCTACCAGGCCTCCTGCAGTACCACTAAGGATGGTGTCATCACCATGAAGCTGTACCTCACCCACGGTGCCACCTCCACCGGTGTCCTCGGTATTGACTCGACCGGCTCCACCACCATCGAGACCTCTCCCTACCTCAACACTGCCGCCGACAAGGAAGCCCTGACCCGCTTCCTCAACGGCCTGATCGCCGACATGAAGAACTCGACCGCTGGCTTCTCCATCGAGGGTACCGCGACCGCGGCGAGCATCCTGAACCAGCTGACCGCCGGTGACCACTACGTCGGTACCGCCAAGATGGGTGTCGATGATGGCCGTGAGGCCAACGGCACCTCCGTTGTTGACCTCAACACCAAGGTTTACGGCACTGAGAACTTGGTACGTCCTCCCTCCCCTTTTATTATCTCAGAGACCATCTCTATTAACATATTATCTTCTATAGTACATCGTCGATGGCAGTATCCACCCTGATCTTCCCACCGGTAACTCCCAGGCCATCATCCAGATCGCCGCCGAGGCTGCCGTCGCCCGCATCATCGCCCAGGGCACCAGCGCCACCTCTGCCTCTGCCTCGGCTTCCGTCTCCGTTGCTGCTTCCACCCAGGCCGCCTACGTCTCGACCACTTCCGAGGCCGCTGCCGCCACCGAGACTGAGACTGAAGCCGTCACCACCACTGACGCTGTCACCGCCACGGCCGTCCCCACCTCCGGCACCATCTCGTCCACCACCGGCTCTTCCTCTTCCTCTTCCTCCGCTGGTTCCTCCAGCGAGTCGGAGAGCAGCACCGGCGCTGACGACAACGAGGGTGACGACGATGACGACGAGTACGACTGCGACGACGAGGATGATGAGGACGAGGATGACAGCAGCAGCGGCGCGATCAAGTCTGTCACCGCCAAGGTAGCCGTGGCTTCCACTGCCGCTGCCGACTCGGGTGCCTCTACCACCACCGTGTGGGTGACCTCGACTGCCTGGACCACTACCACCGATATGGTGGTGGCTACCAGCACTTCAACCGTGACTGTCTGGCCCACCTATGCTTAGATGGTGATGAACTCGCCAGTGGGGACAGGGCGCGCGCAAACTTGGAATGAAGTCTAGGCCCGTTCCGTTCTCAGTTGTGTATCTACCTATTCTTATACATAGAATTTATTTTCTTATTCTTTCAAGTCCTGTTGTACTTTCAATGGTTGAGAAATGGGTTGCCTGACCTGTAGGTGTGATGTCATGCGTGCGACGTATATCGATTAAATTAGTTGTAGTAGTTGAATAAAATAACACCGACAGCATAGTCAAGATACTATATACAGATTCTGCCCCACTCCGTGCATAGAGTAGGTACTAAGCGGTTCTAAATCTATCAGCTCATTCAAAATATTCAAGGAATTCTCAATCTACGATGTATACTTCCTCGTGTCCTTGTGCTTAGCTATTATTGCTTACTTCCTCACTGGTTGCTTTCTAAGAAGAAAATTCTCTTTTATCGGTGTACCGCGGTTGAAGATTCAGTTGTTGAGAACGACTTGCTAACTACTTACGGACTAAGACTCCTCCGTACTGACCGGACGGACTAGAAGTAGGTCACAATTGTTAGACTACTCATTGGAAACGTCCTACTATTCAGTCTATAATAAGGTATGAAATGGGTAATATCCTTATATATGAAAGTTTTGAGACCACTGATTGTTTTTGATTAACTTTATTTTTACTTTTATTTTTAATTTTGTTTCCTCTCCAAAAACAGGAATGAAATGTAATAGTTAAGATGGTTAGCTTAATCAGTGGACCTCTCGGTTGTGACAGCCCCACTCATATTTAACGATGTTTCCCTTTGTTTAATTTCACGTGCTGGCCGCCAATAACCTGGTTTAATTTACGTTCAGAGAAAGCAATTCGTGATGGTAGTCCCAATAGATCACAAGGTCAGTAATACCTCGGGATTGATGAATTTTATGCAGTAAATCAATTCGGCCTGCCCACGCTATATACATGCACATACATGCAATGCAATGCAATGCAATCTTCCTCTAGCTGAACCAGTCAAGTAAAGTAAGTAAGTAGATAGGTCCTGTTGATCCCGACTGGTCCATACCATTTTCTCAGTACAATTCGTTTCTCATAACATCATATACGACCCCATCATTTTTCGGACCCCAGGCCTCCCACCGCCCTACCCAGACGACCCTCTCGAATCCACAGAGTAATACTTTGTAGTGAATAATCTGCAGACGCAAGAGGATCCACAAATGTTAGAGCACACCACCATCGTGGTGATCATCATGTAACCAGTCCCAGTCGTTCCCCTGGAAGACGGGATCCGCAGCGAGCATGGTTGCACTGACGTCATCTAATCCCATGTCCTCCAGCGCGTAGATGGCATTGGTGTCCGCAAAGGATACCGCCAGGTCGCTGTACATGCGATGCGCATCCACGAGCAGGGGATTCACCATGGACATGGACATGGACATGCTGTCAGTGGTGGCGGCCATGGAGCAGAATGACGGTGGGAGAGATGCGATGGGTGGTGGGGAGAGATATCCTGCTGCGGTTGCTGTCGTACTCCCTGGGAGAGTCGCCGCGGCTGACACTGCAGCGTATGCGCTAGCAGCAGCCGGAAGTGATGAATTGGGACTCGTCGCGCTGGTACTAGGGGAAACGGATGGCCTCGGGGCAATGGGGAGAAAGGTGGACGGAGAGGCGGAGAGTCGCGGGGAACGGCCAGCAGCTCGCTAGAAGCCACTATATCAGCCTGAACTGCACCAGAAGCCATTCACGATGGGTGAAATGAGGTGTGTAGAAGTATGGTGAACGTGTACTTTTGAGGATGAAGAAGGATGATGATGATGATCGGTCTCACGTTTGAGCTTGGCGTGCTCTTCGGGGCTTTCGCAGGGGGTGCAGTTGCAGATGGAGCAGGTCGCAAAGGGACGACCTTTGCGGTTGATGCGAATTAGGGGTCGGTCTTTATTTGTGTACCACGCTTAGTATAGTTTTGAGAGCAGCACAATTTGGAGGAGAAGAGAGAGAGAGAGGAGAATACCATTGTGTTTGCAGGTGGTCACACGGTGGCCGCGGACACAAGCTTCACACGCCCACTTTTCACCGTCGATAAGCATTCCTTTGGATTAATGATTGAATGGTGAGGGGAGAGAGAAAGGGAGGAAGTGGGGAAGAGGAGCAGATGGGCATGATGGTGGTAGTAAGTAGATGGGAGGGAAGGGAGGATTTATACGTAGAAGTGGGTGGAGGTGGTGATATGGAAGGGAAGAAAAAATTAATTGGGAATGGAAATAACCACGGTGCGATAGAAAAGAGGGTAAACAGCTACGTAGGGAAGGAGTAGCTAGGCTAGGTGCTAGACACAAGATGGGGGAAAGATGGCACAGCCACGGATCGACTGCATGGATGGGGATGTCACTTCATCTCGGTTGGGAGATTAGTTAGTGGTGGTCGTTGGTAGGTAGAAAGAGGTATAGCCATGAGGGATTTTAGAAGATTCGCGAGGGCAAAAAGGATGAGGATCCCCGGGTTTCGATTAGCAAGAGAATCAGGAGAGGATCAAAGTGGAGATGGGGATGGGAAGAGAGAGAGAGAGAGAGAGAGGAAGAAAATCTAGAATAGAGTGGTAATGGTGGTAATGGTGGTAGTAAGTAGTAAGTACCAAGTAGTTAGTTAGTAGTAAGTAGTAGTAGTCATAGTAGTAGTAGTAGGAGGGAGGGAGGGAGCAGTACTTTTCGCTCCGACGGGCCTCCACCGTATGATATCAGCAGAATCCTACTATAACTACTATAGAGTAAGTTAGTAGTAGAGTAGTAGTAGTAGTATAGTAGTAAGTAATGATGGAAAAAAAAGACCAGGAAAAGAATGCGGCATTTTCCCATCAAGTCTTCCCGACGAGCTGCCCCATCGGTGCTAGTCTTCTGCTCCCTAATGGATGGTCCAGCAAATTCCCGCATACAAAAATTACCACTTTTTTGCTCGCCAGTGCCACCTTCTGGCTCCGTCTCAATTTTCTGCCTCTCTTTTTTCCATTTCATGCTCGGCTAGACTCATTTATTATTATTTTTTTTTTTTCTTGTCTTTTGTTATCGCCAAAATTGCTGCTGCCTGAAAGTTCAGGGACTTGGACCGAACAGGAAGAAACCCTAGTTAGTTGCCTCATAACCTGCAGGACAACAATAACCCCGGAAGGAAGACAACCCTACTTTTACAGTACCTTCAGACTACTACTAGTAGTACCTACTAGTTTACTACTTTACTGCTATTTACCTCGGGATCACAGCATATGACACAAGCTACAACTCTCTTATCCTCCGAAACCCCCCCCCCCACACACACACACACACACACCAGCCACCCACAACTAGTAGGAAGAGGTTAACTAATCTGGAGGTGGCTGAGCAACAAGCTGAGCTTACTTCCATCAAGATTAGTCGCAACTCGCTAACTCTCGCACGAGCCAACTGCGTGATTATTCTTCTCTCGCGATTGGCTGCGCGGGTCACGGTTTGGCGGTTTTTTGGCTGCAGGATCCTTCCAGCTGCCTGCAGTGCAGCTGCAAGCTGTCTTTCCCTCTCTCTTTCGCCGTCCGAGCTTCTGTTTTTCCTGCACGTCTGGTCTGTCAGTCACTCGGTCATCCATCCATCCATCCCCGGCTAAATCATGAAAATCTTTTTCCATCCGCGGCTGGCTGGAGGGACTTCAGTTAGTAGTAGCAGTCTACAAATTAGTCTAGCACTGTAAAGTAGCTTTTGGCTGTAGATCCTCTTTCCGATCGGAATCTCGGAATCCCTATTTGGGTGTTTCCTGGGTTTTGATCAAACCCTTTTTTTATTTATCAGAAATAGAGCCTTGTTCCCTCTTCCTTCCTACCTGCTTTATTTTTGCCTCCTCACTTCTGATGCATTTCAGCCTGCCTGCCTGCCTGCCTGCCTGCTGTGCTGTACTGTGACTAACAGTGGGCATTTGGTTCATTGCAATCATTTTTCTTTATTTCTTCTTTACTGCCCGTTTCTTTGGTCTACAATATGTAGTGTCTGCTCCGTGAAGCCATACAGAGCATTGCAAAGGACACTATCACGACACACCTCGTGGATACAGAAGGAAATGAGTAGATAACACTGTCATGCCATATTCACAACACGCACTTAAACAACCCTATGTACAGATATCTCCATCCATCTACTTCCACCCCCTCCTAGCTCTGCTAGCTCTGCTGCACTGTGTACTGTGCACTGTGCATGTCTCGCCTCACATCTACCTACTATCACCTAGGAATATGCCGGGGGATATAGACAGTAGCCAAAAGCAACAACAACGGCCAAAACCAAAACAAGCAAAAACTACAGACAAACCAGCTCCCAGGCTTCCCGATGCAATGTAACAATAACAACCAAATCAAAACAACGTATGTGAAAGGTGCAGCCTGCCTCACCCCCTGCAGGTCGTGGGAATATCATCACACCTCCTGGATGTAGTTCGCCGGTACGCTCTTCGTCACCCCGCCCCGCTCAACATCCGCCCATCCATCTCCGCCATCCCGGTTCACCAGCACGAACCGGTCGCCTTCCACCATACTCCATTCCATGTCGCTGCGCGCGTCGTAGTCATACAGCGCTTCCACATACTGAAGCTTCTTGGCGCCCCGGCGCGGTGCTACAGCTGGTCCGACCCGTTTGTTGCCCCCGGCGCCGCCGCCGCCTGTCAGCGAGGCCGAGGAGTTCGAGTACGTTGAGCCCGGCCGGTCAGCCGTGAAGCCGGGGCTGGCAGACGGCACGGGTGAAGGTGCGGGCCCAGCTTCCACATAGGAAGCAGGGACGAGCCCTTCTTCGCCGCCGGACCTCACGCGCATCCAGCCGGATCCATCTATAATGTATTGGTTAGTGTTGTCAGGGTAAGAGTTGGGAAATGGCGTACCATCTGGCTCCAGGATGACGATATCGTCCCCTTCCTGAACAGTCACCTCGTCAGCTCCGCCCGCTTGGTATGCATACAGCATCTTGCCATGCTGCTCGTTGGGCTTGGAGCTTAGCGCCGGGGCCGAGTCATTGGCGGGCGGACCACTGATGTACTGTGCCGGTGGCGGTGCAAGAATGCGGTTCTTCCGTGCTGGGGCGGGCTTGCTCTCTGCGACGGGTGTGGGAAGCTCCGTTGCGGTCGTGGTGGGAGATTGTGCGGCATTGGACATAGATCGGTTGGCACTGACGGCGTAGCCGGAGCTCAGCGAGTTCATCGTGTCTTTGCGGGTGAGTGATGGCGCAGTGGATGAGCTCGTGGTCGGCTCTAGATCAAGTGGTGCTGGGGCGGCGTTGGCTTGTTCTTGTCGCTCCACTTTCAGCTTCTTCTTTTCTTCCTTGGTCTGCTCACCCGGGCACTCAGCCGGTACCTTCATTTCACATTTACTATGACAGGTGTATCCGCAGTCCCGGCAGTCGAAGCCCTTGGCGGATAATCCCCATATCCTTTCTCCACACAGGTCGCAGTTGGTCGGTATCTTGAACGTCTGCGACTTGAAATTGTGGTTGCGCGCTCCGAGCGAAAGATCGCCCACCGCCGATATGATGGTAGAGGTTTCCACCTCGGCAGTCAGGCGCCGGCGGTCAACTTCATGCAGGGACTCCTGCTGGAAGAATATAGATCGGACAACTTCCACCTCGTTGCGCTTGTCCGTGCCCTGTCGGATGCTTTCCCGGACCCGTCTGGCGGTTTCCACCTCGCGTCGCTTCGTATCCGCCTCGACTCTCAGCTCTCGCACCTGTGTCTTGCTCTTGCTGAGAAGGTTGCGCAAAAAGACCTTGGCCGCCTCGTCGGTGATGAGAGCGTCGTCGTCGTGCCAGATTGGGCTCGGCTCGAAGGTCATGTTGGCCGGCTCCTGTGATTGTGTGACGTTGTGGCGCAGGAACATGAGCGAGTCCAGGTGTGGAACGTTGCGCGGAATCTCATTGATGAGGTTTGCCATGTGGTCCACACTCTTCGACAGGTAATTCTTCTCGAGTTGTGCGGCCAATGTCCAGAGCGAGTTCAGCTTCGTTACACGTGTTTCGTTAAGGTCTTGCAGGCCCTACCCGGGATATTAGCAGATTGGATCCAACCAGTCAAAGCACACCTACATCAAGTAGCTCCGGCACATATTCGTGGTAGAATCGCTCTTTCATCTTGTTCGTCACATTAATACTGATGAGATATGTGTTCTGCAATGCCGTCAGCAATAGTCTTTGGCATCATCGTAGTAACCGACCTTAACGTTGTTCATCTCCAATATCTGCTGTTGGTACGCTGCCTGGGCCTTAGGCTTACTGTGGTCGAACGAAGATTCCATCTTCTTCCGCCTTGCCTCCACTTCCTGGCACGCGCCATCATATTTACCCTTCGCCTTCTTCAGGTCACTGTACGAGGAGTCCCTCTCCTTCTCGAGCTTGGCATGGAAATCAACATGACACTTCCTGAGCTCTTCGTACTGGTTCGCAGCTTGTTTGAGCGGCTCTGCGACATGTACAAGCAGGTCGTTACCGAAGTGATCCCGTTCAGTGGCATGCGATTCCACGGCGCTCAATTGTGTCGACCACGTGGTAAGTGAGGCACTTTCGAGGGAGCCCGGGGTCATGCTAGGGGTGTCTCCGACACTCAAACTGCTGATTTTCTTGGCTTTGCGGTCGTAGTATTTCTTGCATAGCGCCGTTAACTTTGCCGCATACTCCTTCTCGATTGCGCTGCGCTCGCGGTAAAACTGTTGTATCTCATCCAGCCATCCGATACCATTCGACACCTAGCAAGCATTCTCTTAGTTCTCGGTGAATAAGATTTCGGCGATCATCGGGGGTATTCAGCTGGAAGGGATAAGGAGGCGGAAAGAGGGAAGTAAGTGCCTACCCAATTGTTGACCGGTTTAAACGAATCCTGCCAAGGTCCTCGATTAGCTGGAATCTGGGGTTTATGCGACAGAGTTATGTCATACCTTCAACTCCGCCCCAAAGTGAGGGGCGACATCCGGGGTAGCCATTCTGATAGATGGTCAGCTTGTCGGAGGTCACGCCGCAGGGAGACAGGCGGAGATGCGACATGGAAGACTCAAAAATGCGTCGGCCTAGTGAGTCGCGACTCCAACCAGGAGACCGAATGGAGCAGCCTAACTTACCTTCCACGTGCGGAACAGCCGTTGGCGACCGTGTGTGCTCCGTAGTCCGTACAACCGGATGGTGGGTAGGGAGGGATCGGGGAACCAGGAATCGTTGCCAGGCGCGGCTGGAATGGCTGGAGAGCGATGAGGAAGCGGGGAAGATGACCATACAGAACGGCCTCTGGTTGCCTGTCAGGCCACGTTGAGCCTCCATTGCCTGGCCGGAGGCTCCCTACGTCATCCCCATTTGGGCTGGCAACCGTAAGGTATCGTAAGTGGTATCCCTTGACTCTTACCGCCTCCCGATATGGTTAGACTGCAGCTACTCGGCTGCTGGCCCAAACAGGCCTAGTGTCGATTCAAGGCGGTCAGCCGCGTTGGTTTTTCGACCGTCATGGTGATGGAGCTTCCCTTAGCCATTGCTGCTTTGCCTGGGTGTTGAACGATCAATCGCCCTTCCTCTTCCATCATCTAACTGGGCACCGTGGTGAATGTGTCATTCTTTTCTCGTGTGCGCTTCATTTGCTGTGTTGAGCGGTTGATTCCTGTTTCAGCGCGCTGTTGATTACCCCGCCATCTCCCCTCCGTCTGGGAAACACGAACAACAACTTGCATCCGAAACATCTTCCCTAGCCCCTTACCTATACGTCCTTCACAGTTCTTCTATACATCATCAGGATGGCGTCTGAAGAACCCGCTGCCGGTTCTCTTGCGGACCGCATCACCAAGCCCGAGGAATCTGCTCCTGCCGGTACGATACTAGTCTACTTCTATGCCACCGCTCGTTTCACTTCCGTGTCACTCTCTTACCAGACCCTGCTGGACCCTGACTTATGCGATCATTTCTTGCAGAAGCTCCCGAACAGACAGAAGATATTCCTCAGACCGATGGCGCCGCCGCCCAACAGGGTGGCTCCGACCTTCATGAGCCTGACTACACCGTTGAAGTCAAGCTCAGCGATCTCCAGGCCGATCCGAATAACCCCCTTTTCTCCGTGAAGAACTTTGAAGATCTCGGCCTGTGCGTGCATCCGTCAATTTCGGTTGTTATGCTGCTAAAATACGGTGCTAACCCGTCGTGAAATCAGGGACCCTCGCATCCTCCAAGGATTGTCGGCAATGAACTTCCGGAAACCCTCCAAGATCCAAGAGAGGGCCCTTCCGCTGCTACTTGGCAACCCCGCGAAGAATCTGGTCGGTCAGTCCCAGTCCGGTACTGGAAAGACTGCGGCCTTCGTCCTGAACATCCTCAGTCGCTTGGACCTCTCGTCGGAGCAGTTGCAAAAGACCCCCCAGGCGTTGATTTTGGCCCCCACACGAGAGCTGGCTCGTCAGATTGTTGGTGTCATCCAAGTGATGGGCCAGTTCCTTGATGGGCTCGTTATTGGTACCGCCGTGCCCGCAGATACTGGCGCTCGTCCCGCCAAGATGGAGTGCTCCGTCGTTGTGGGTACCCCTGGTACTGTGATGGACATGATTAAGAGGCGCATCATGGTTGCGAACAAGCTCCGCGTGCTTGTTCTGGATGAGGCCGACAACATGCTCGACCAGCAGGGTCTGGGTGACCAATGTATCCGTGTGAAGGCGTAGGTTGCTCTATTTTCACTTTTCGCGCCACGCGTGCTAACGTCTATTCAGTCTCTTGCCTAGAGATATTCAGGTTGTGCTCTTTTCGGCTACCTTCCCTGCTCACGTGCACGAATATGCGTCCAAGTTCGCCCCCCAGGCCAACGAGATCACCCTCCAGCATGAGGAGTTGACGGTCGAGGGTATTAAGCAGCTGTACCTGGACTGCTCGAATGACGAGGACAAGTACCAGACTCTTGTCAACCTCTACGGTCTGCTCACCGTCGGCTCGTCCATCATTTTCGTCAAGGTTTGTACACATCCTCTACGGCATTGCAGTTACTCTAACGCAGGATTAGACCCGTGCCTCCGCCCAGGAGATCGAAAAGCGAATGGTTGCCGAGGGTCACACCGTGGCCTCCCTGACCGGTGGCATTGAAGGATCGCAGCGTGACGCAGTCATTGACCAATTCCGTGCCGGACACGCGAAGGTCTTGATTACGACCAACGTGCTTGCCCGTGGTATCGATGTCTCCACTGTGTCCATGGTTATCAACTACGTAAGCCGTGTCCTTTACATGATGATCATGAGTTTCAATGCTAATGATGCATTGTTTTTGTGAATAGGATATCCCTGAGCTGCACCAACCCGGCGCCCGTCAACGACAGGCCGATTTCCAGACCTACCTGCACCGTATTGGCCGTACAGGACGTTTCGGCCGCGTGGGTGTATCCATCTCTTTCGTGTCCAACCGGGAAGAGTGGGAGATGCTCAACCAGATTCAGCGATACTTCAACACCAACATCCAGCGGATTGACACCAAGGACTGGGACGAGGTGGAGGACATTATCAAGAAGACGATCAAGAGCTCACGTGCTCAGCTCGGCTTCCGGTAGAGCGTGTCCGACAAACCCTCGACGCGACGCCGCTGTCCGATGGCGGCTGCTCAAACGGGTTGATTGGAAGAGATTGGAATAAGATATGACTATGGTGCAATGTGGATTGCTTATGAAGAGTTATGAGGATTTCTTTGTGTTCAATTGAAAGTCAGATTAATAGATACCAGTTGCTTGCTCAACCTATGGGTGTTTTGGGTGGTTTCGGGTTCATCATTTCCAGCCAACCATGACATCGTTCCTTACCGGCAGCTGGACAGGGGAGGGCCATGTGACCCGGGGGAGTCTCGTGATTCGGTGTCCCAACGATGCCACAAATCGGCTAAGCATGGAAGGAGAACCCGTAGCCATGGAATCGGTCGCTCATTCATTGGAGATGATGGCCGAAGTAGCTAGTAGTACCTCAGCTCCCTTGTAGCATTGTCGCCGCGCTTCCCCGCGGAACTCCAACCGGACCGGAATGAGGGGTCGATCATCCGCATCGCCCTCGGCGTCATCGTGCATCCGCAACTTGACCGCGAGTCGGATTGCATAACAAAATAACCGCCGATCTGGGCTGTTGTTCCATTATGATCTCGTTTTAATTAGCAAGACAACCGGTATGATAGACCAGACAACCATGGTTCAGTCGACGCCTGACCCAAACCGGGGAAAGATAAGGCCAGGCCAGGGGGGCGTGAACGATAAGGAGGCAGTGCGGAGAATGAGGGAGAGATGAGGCCGTAAGATTGAGATTCGGGCCCAAAGTCACATGCAGCTGGCATGCAGCGACACCCATCGTCGCCCTGTTTTCTTGGCCCCTCCTCTCCTCATTTCATCTCGCTCTTCTCTCTTCCCTTCTTCATCCTCTTCATCCCATCTCCCCTGTTTCTTCACAGCCTGCCTATTCCTTCCCCGCATCGTCATCCAGCACCATGTTGGAGACCGATACCTCCATCAAGCCCACGTCCGACGAGGCGACAGCCCAGTCACCGACTACTCCAACCTCGCCAACTCACTCCAACTCTCGTTACAGTACGCATATTGTGGTAAGTTTGTGGAGCAGTGTCCGACTGGTGTGGGCAAAGGATCCTTACCTTATGAGCTAGTTGACCACCTACCCCGGCCAAAGTGGCATCGACCCCATCCCGCTCGAATGGGGCGCCCCAGATGCTAAATCCCGCGGCCCCGTCGTTGTCTCCCGTAGCTCCGCATTACTCAAGCGGCGGAATGCTATGGGCGCTCATGGTGGCAGTTACAGCATCTACAACGCCCTCGCCATTGCCGCCGGTGATTTGGAACCGAACTTCCGTCCTGACCTCAGCAACAGTCAACCTACATTCAACTTCCCATGGCAGCCTGCCTGGGCCGACAAGACCAAGATTGTGTCTATGGACCCGTGGGGACATGACATTGTTAACCAGTTCCGGGACGAGCTAAGCAAGGGCTGGGATATCCGCCCCACAATGGCGGTGACCCGCGCGAACATGAACTTTGCGGAGATCGCCGACGCGGTGAAGGAGGGGAAACTAGATGTGGACGGTTCCATTGTGGTTGACTCCTCCGGTGAAGTGCGCGTTACCAAAGTCGCCGTCGAACCGGTCTGGTATCTGCCTGGTGTTGCAGAGCGGTTCGGAGTTGATGAGGGGACGCTGCGACGGACACTATTCGAGCATACGGGCGGAAGTTATCCCGAGCTGATCACCCGGCCCGATCTGAAGATCTTCCTTCCTCCCATTGGAGGTCTGACGGTGTATATCTTTGGGCCACCGGAGCGGGTGTCCGACGAGAATGTGAAACTAGCATTGCGTATTCACGACGAATGCAACGGCAGTGATGTCTTCCAATCGGATATTTGTACATGCCGACCGTACCTTGCATTTGGTATTCGGGAGGCGATTCGCGAAGCCCAGAGTGGAGGCAGTGGAGTGGTCATCTACTTCCGAAAGGAAGGTCGGGCTTTGGGTGAGGTGATCAAGTACTTGGTCTACAATGCCCGCAAGCGCGGCGGCGACACTGCCGACAAGTATTTTACGCGGACGGAGAACATTGCCGGTGTTAGAGATGTAAGCTGTTTACCAAACCTTAAAATAGAACATCAGACTAACTTTGATTCTAGATGCGCTTCCAAGCGCTAATGCCCGACATTCTGCACTGGCTCGGCATCAAAAAGATCGACCGCATGCTATCCATGTCCAACATGAAACACGACGCCATCGTCGAGTCGGGAATAAAGATCCTGGAGCGTATCCCGATCCCGGATGAGATGATCCCAACGGATTCGCGTGTCGAGATCGATGCGAAGATCAATGCTGGATACTTTACAACCGGGAAGAATGTCACAGCAGAAGACTTGGCTGCTGTGCGTGGACGCGGATGGGAGAAGTGGGAGGACATTACGGTATGTTCTGTCATTAGAATGGATCTTGATGAGGACCTTGCTGACAAGTCTAGCACTGATTGGGGTTTCAACCTACACTTACGACGAACTATGAAATTTCGGGTGCATCATTACAGTTCGGCTGGTGACGACGCATGGCTTGCGCAGCATTTCGGGTTATGGAGCGACATTTGCCTGCATGAGCTATTCAATATAAGAGATGTAGAAAATAAAAAAAAGGTCAAAATGGGCAACCATCTATTGCCTGGTAAATCAGAAACGGTATATAGTATCAACTATCGTAGTATACACCACCCACAGGTCCAATTGGCCTCCTCATTCTATACCATCACTCTCATTTGAAATCCTTGTGCCTCCTTCATTATCCACACCAACATGATGATCCCCCTTCAACGCCACCCCGGATAACATATGGAACTTCTTCTTCCGTTTATCTAGTAGTCACAATCAGCACAATATACCTTTCCAAGACTAGAATAATATACTCACCAGCGTAGACCTCTCTCACACCCCGCGTTACAACCGTAACACACGTAGCCAGGATCCCCACATTTACCTCAACCACAGCCCACAGAGCTAGTAAACTGAATTCATGCATGAAAGATAATCTGCTCTCTTTCTCATTGTTGTTGTGTGACACAATGATAGTGAAATATGTCCTTGCGATAGAAATGGCGGTTACGCTATGCATCACTTTTATTAGTACACCGACCCGGAAAAAGGGGGCCAGGGTGAGAGGAGAGGAACAAGACATACTAGACACCAACAATATAAAGCCTGATCATCCCTATCTTCCTCCCTATCCACATGTTCAACCCGGCAATAACGAAAATAGGAATGATTGTGATTAGTATGTTTGTGATTAGATCCATGATTGTATACACTGTTAATAGAATACCCCTGTTTGTGCTTGCGCAGGTGTTACTGTTGTTAACATCCTCTATCGATGACCAAATACGAGAAACATGACCCCCGCACTGGAGGATCGTCGCAAAGATGAATGCGACCATCCATACCGTTACTGCGCCGCTGAGGAAAGTACATAGTCGATGAACAGGATGGGTACTGAAGACGCGTTTCCATAAAGTGAAGAAACTCAGCTTGGTCAGGCCGAGGGCGATGATCTCGACTATCTGAAGGGCGAGTTGATATTTCCTTGCTGCAACTTCAGTTTGAGCTGTGGGTTGGGTGTAGTTTGCGATGATGTCGCGGGATGTTCCTGCTAGGAAGGTACTGTTGTATACCAAGGTGCATATCTGTGTAGAATGTTAGATACTTTGATTGCAACATAGCTAGTTGGCTATTGGGCAGTGCCAGGCTTACTTACCAGTGCAGCAAGCGCTAGCCAGTCATCTGCGAGTAGGTCCAGTCGCGCTAGTCTTCGCGCGTAGAATCGAAGAGCCACGGCAGATAAAGAAGTCACAGTAAATACTGAGGTTACTGCCAGGAGTGCGGTGGAACTCGGGGCGCTGGGAATTGTCCAGTCGTGAGCCATGTCCGGCCGATGTCTCGTATCCTGGCGGGAGCCAGGATTGGTGAGGTAGCGTTTGGTGTCTCTGGAGACAGACGGAAAATATCTAGGGTATCATGATAGTAGCAGCCATGTATCTCGGTGACTACCTTTACATATGAGTGTCGATCGCGTGCTTGAAGGTGACATGGTAAGATGCGGACATTTGGGAAGAGCTGGGTGCAGGATGACGGCGCTTAGACAAGGCTGAGGCTTTGCCGTGGCTGATGTTGGACCCTTGCAGTTGGGGGCCATTTCTGCATCATTCTTTTTAAACAATTCAAGTATAGTGTGTTTAGCAGATGGTGGTTAGATCATGCTATCTGGGATTTAAGTTCCATCCCATGCATTAGTATCTGGAAAATGTGAATGTGGAGGGTGCAAGTACGTGCCACTGTTCCCAGGCTATATATTTAACAGTAGTTGCCACCACCGTTGCAGCCACTACAACGCAACTCAGTGGAGTCCGGCGCATATACTAACCATGTTTAAATCCAAACAACCGCCTCATCAACCCCTCAGTTGTAACCCCCGCACCCACTCCGATATCGTTGAGTGTCAAATAGCATTCGGACTGATTGCCCGCTGATAAGTGTTCGGGAAGACATCCCGATCGGATTCTTTTCCGTCCCCGCACTCCAAGTATATAATCAGCTCTCCTGCAGCACGTCATTGACAGAATACTCACTCAATTGATACCCTTATTTCCTAAAGACATACCACATAGAATCCATAGAGTCTCAGAATCACCATGGGCTCCTCCGTCACCGTCACCCCTCAACCTCGCATCCCCAAAGCCGGCGTTTGGTGCCCCGCCGTGACTTTCTTCGACCATAGCACCGACACCCTCGACCTCGATGCCCAAAAGAAATACTACCAGTACCTCTCCACGACCGGCCTGGCCGGCCTCGTCATCCTCGGTACCAACTCCGAAGCTTTCCTCCTCACCCGCGAAGAACGCGCCCAACTCATCGCCACGGCCCGTGCCGCCGTTGGCCCCGACTACCCCCTCATGGCCGGCTGCGGTGCTCACTCCACCAAGCAAGTCCTCGAATTGGCCGAAGACGCCGCCGCCGCGGGCGCAAACTACATCCTCGTCCTGCCCCCCGCTTACTTTGGCAAAGCCACGACCCCGGCCGTCGTGAAGCGCTTCTTTGCTGATGTCGCACGCAAGAGTCCCCTGCCCGTCGTGGTGTACAACTTCCCGGGTGTCTGTAACGGTGTGGATCTGGACTCGGAGACCATCACCGCCATCGTGCGCGAGTCGGCGGCATCGAGCGGTAATGGGGTCTCGAATGTGGTGGGTGT